AATCCGCTAGGTCTAGCAGCGCCTGCAGTTGTGCCGGGAAAGATACTGCTACAGCAAGCCTGGAAATTCGGTGGCGACTGGGATGATAAGTTGCCTGATGGCATCGCAGTCGCATGTACGCAATTGTGGGGAGAGTTGGCCGAAGTGGTGAGCATTGACATACCACGTTGGATTTGCTGAAATCTTGACACCCTGATTGCGCTTCATGCCTTCGCAGATGCCAGTGAGAAAGCGTTTGGATGTTCTTTGTATGCAGTCGTCAATGGACAGTCGCACTTTGTCTTTGCCAAGGCCAAAATGGCACTGGTGTCTCCGCCCACATTGGCCCGCCTTGAGCTACAAGCAGTATGTCTAGTGACTCGCTACGCTGAGTTTGTGGCGAAGCAGCTGCGTGTGACCGTCACGCAAGTCTATGGCTTGACTGACAGTCTCACTGCCGTTCACTGGATCAGTAATCCATCGTACAAATGGAAACCATTCGTGGCTAACCCCGTCAGTCAAGTCCAAGAGATAGCGAAGAAGGTCGGCATTGTGTGGAACCGTTGCCCGGGCCTTCACAACCCAGCAGATTTACCGTCGCGTGGGAGTTGTGCACAGCAGATCCGTAGTCCGTTCTGGATGGGCGGACCAACCTGGATGACGGAGGCCAATGACTGGCCCACCGCATCCTCAACCGCAGCTTCAGATGAGTCCAGTGTAGAAGTGCGAGTGTCAGCCACCACCTGTACTCGAGAATCTGATAATGAATTGTGGCTCAGATTCAGTAAGTGGTCGAGGGCACAGGACATGGTGACTCGGATGTTGCAGTGGAAGCACACTGAGCCTCGTACTGAACTCTATTTTGCAGCAGGCAACGTATTGTACTGCATCGTTCAAGCCGAATGTTTCGCTGAGGATCTTGAGCTGATCAAGCAAAGGTCAACCAGTGAAGCCTGGGTCGAAGATGTATCAGCTTGCACCGTTTCTGGATGATCATGGAGTGCTCAGAGCCGGGGGACGACTTCAGCACAGCGAGTTGGCGTATGGAGCCAAGCACCCAGTCCTATTAGGCAAACATCATCTGACCGAGTTGCTGTTGGAGAAAACGTATGTCAAAAGGATGCATCAAGGTGTAGAAGGGGTCTTGTCGTTCATCCGTCAGAAATTCTGGATTATCGGTGGTCGACGATCGCAACGCAACATTATTCAGCGATGTGTTACATGCCATCGCTACAAGGCTAAGGCTGCCTCAGAAATGTGCCCGCTGCTGCCAGAAGACCGAGTTGCTCACGAGAGGCCGTTCGCAACTACCGGCATCGACTATGCTGGTCCGTTGTACGTGCGCCGTTGTGAGTCATCTCCGAAGGTATGGATAGCATTGTTTGTGTGTGCCACCACCAGAGCAGTTCACTTGGAGGTGGTCGATAGTTTAAGCACTGAGTCATTCTTAATAGCATTTCAGAAGTTTATCGCGAGACGTGGTTTGCCGTCTCGGATCAGGTCTGACAACGCTTCAACGTTCAAGGCTGCATCTGACAAACTGAGTGTGCCATGGATGTTCAATCCTCCAGCTGCACCATGGCATGGAGGCTGATATGAACGAATGGTTGGTACGGTGAAGAGTGCCTTGAAGAAAGTAATGGGAACGGCGTCTCTGAAGGTCCAGGAGCTTGAGACCCTCTTGTATGAGGTTGAAGCAGTGGTGAATAGTCGTCCGCTAACTTATGTGTCTGATAGCCTAGGTGAGCCACCAAGAACCCCTGCAATGATGATGGGTAACATCTGGATGTCGTCAGAGAAGCCAGCAGGTACCCTGGACGGTATGCAGATGTCATCGAGATTGCGCTACCTCAGTCAGACACTGAAGCATGTCAAGAATCGTTTGGAGGTGGAGTACCTAAGTCAACTGAACAAGCACCAACAGACCATGTCGCGCCCTTTAGCTGTGGGTGATGTTGTCTTTGTTCTCGACGATACCAAGCGCAAGCAGTTCTGGCGTTTGGAACGGATCGTCGAGCTATTCCTTGGTCGAGATGGTAAGCGTCGTGTTGCCAAGGTTAAGTTGAGTACCAGTACCCTGTGGAGGTTGATCCAGAGGCTAGTGGCATTAGAAGTATCGACACAGGACGTTGCTCCTGGGCCTGCCGTTGGTGCACAACCTGCTATCGTCCAGCACCAGCCAGCGTCTGAACCGTCAGCATCGCTAACACCACCACCACCGCAGCAGGAGATGACGCGTTCTGGGCGCGTAGTCAGAGCGCTGGATCGTTTTTGACTTGTGTGAATTGTTGTACGGCGGTGAGAAGCCCTTTTGTGGGGAGAATGTTACAAACCACCAGTTCTCAAGTGGGAAAGGCCTTCGCGCTTATGGCATTGTATTCGTTGCAATGTTGTATCTCGACTCCGCCGTACCGCTGATGTTGCTGCATGGCATACGCTATATGCGCTGTGTGCCGTTTTACTGTATACGCTGTTATGTCCAGTTTTATATGCGTATCTTTTGCATGTACGCTGTTTTGCATGGGTTAAATAGCTGGTGTTATTAGTGTTAGAACAAACGGCGAGGAGACAAAAATTTGATAACCGCAATCAGTAATACAAGCTGGATCGACTCTTGTGTACACTTTATTCATGTAATGGAAAAATGTGGAGACAATGTGCAATAAAACGATGAAAATGTGAAGAAATGGTGTAGAGAAAATAAGGATTCAAACAAGTTTTCGTACAACACTCATCAGGAATCTTCGTTGTTCTAAAGGACGCTGAAAACAAAATTGAACTATTATAGAAACTCTAAGTTAGAGAAATAACACTAAGAACAACAGCAGTGAAATTTGCAAGTGTGAATTTTAACAATGAAAGCGAGAGCAATAAGGAATGCGTGTACCAACACTAAACTTGCAACTGAAAAATGAACAAAGAAGAGAAAGAAAGAAGGAAGGACAAAGTGATAACAAATAACAGCAGTACATTACACCTAGAACATTAACGGCCAAGCTAGGCCGCACCAAACGTGCCACTTTACTTGAACAATTTCAACCCAATTATACTATCTTTCTGTACACACAAATTAGGCTTATACAGACGCTGATAGATGGCTTCCAAAACTTTTAACTGTAGTCCATAACCATAACGACCACGGCACAATACAGTGAAAGAAGAGTCGGATTACGAATTGCAACAATCAGGACTAGCCAACAGGTGATTGTACACTGAAGACTTGCTACCACGAAACCTACGCACAACACTAACATTCTCACCGGCACTCTCACGATCACTACAATCGTCGCTCACGGACTCATTGCTCCCTTCGCCGTCCGTCCCATCCTCCGCTTCCTCTGCGCTCTCTCTGGTATCCCGCCTGACTTGGTCCATTGAACGGGACTCGGCCGTCACCCTGCTGTCACGTCCCTCCTTGCGCCCTTGTCCGTTGAGTGCGTAGCTTCTGTTGTAGTTGGCTGCTGATCGTCTTTGTCTTTCAATAGTGGGCTCGGATGGTGGATTAGTTGTGGTTGCTGTAGAGTGCATTGTTGGCGATGGTGTGGTAGCTGCTGATACGCAAGGTGGGTCTTCTTGAGTCGGCAATTGTATTGTTAACGCCACTGTCGGTGTTGCTCGCGGTCTGTCACTGGCAAGCTCCACCGCCGCAAGAGCCTACGGTGGATGATCAGAAGGAGGCAGTGGGACCGGGTCCGCAAGCGGCACCACCCCAGCCAAAGCAGCCGGGGGCACTGACGAAGAAACCACCGACGGCAGGAGCAAAGGCGGCGGCACAAGCCGGCCCGATGAGCCACCACGCCCACCCTCCTCCACCACCGCCACCAGCGACGGCGGAGCAAACACAGTCTGTGAGCTAGGATCCGCAAGTAGGTAACGGTTGTTTTCTAGGTCACCCTCGCTTCGGTCTTTGTTGTTGTGCGCAGGGTGGAAGTATGTGACGTTAATGTTCTAGGTGTAATGTACTGCTGTTATTTGGTATCACTTTGTCCTTCTTTCTTCCTTTCTCTTCTTTGTTCATTTTTCAGTTGCAAGTTTAGGGTTATCACACGCATTCCTTATTGCTCTCGCTTTCATCAATTAACACTTGCAAATTTCACTGCTGTTCTTCTTAGTGTTATTTCTCTAACTTAGATTATCTATAAGAAAGGGTTTGCTCCCCACACCGGAGCTCGCGCTATTCCGCCGACTTTACTTGACACTTGACTGACTCACGACTGCCATCCAGAGCACACGAGAAGTCCATCGAACCTTCGACTCGGCAAACCTGCAAGAAAGCACCACTCCCTGCTCAATACACAGTGTTTCGGGGAATTCACCCCTCATCAGTTGAGCTTGAGTAGGCTGAGGAAGATTGTGCCTGAAGAGCACCACTTATATAGTGCTCTCCAGGCACAAACATCACCAGGGATACAAACTTACAGAGACGCTCCGCTTGCAGCGCGACAAACACCTCGTGAACACCAGATAGCAGCGTGAGTCAGTGTCGCTCCTGGACGGTGAGACAGACGTCGAGGACCCTCGGTCATTCGCAACGCTGTCACCTCCAAACCAACTAGTCGCAAGCCCGCGCTGGGCACAACAGTACGAAGTAGATACCAGATAGCAGCGTGAGTCAGTGTCGCTCCTGGACGGTGAGACAGACGTCGAGGACGTCGAGGACCCTGAGGACTGAGGACACTGTGTATTGAGCAGGGAGTGGTGCAACCACTACTTCGTACGTTTGATCTTGACAATTTAGAGAATTTTAGAGGGTTCATAACAGCATCTTTGGGAAAGGGTGTGGTCGGGCACAAGGGGTACTTGGATGTGGCTAAAGAGGTTTCTCGGCACTTGTGCCAGTGGTTGTGAGACGCATCCCCTCACAACCCTCCAACAGACGCTGCACCTGCCACTAGGGTTTACCAGGTGTTAGCTGGCGTCGTGAGTTCCCTTCGGGATCGGACACGATCATTTACTAACTTTCAATGGTGTTATTTACGGCAATTTTGATTCTTCGAGTGTTTCCATTTTTTATATTCCAGGGGTGGTTTGCCTAGCACCTTTGCCAGACGGGCGCAGAAGTATCAAGCACGGAACAGTTCGCAGTTCTTACCCTCATTGGTTGCTTCGCACCTCACAAAAATGGTCATTCTCTGAAAGACGTTGGATCAGCAACTATTTTGCCCGTGTTCCATTTGGAGACAGTCTGACCTTTACATGTTCAGCTGGCTATTATGTAACCAACTCAACAAGCCAGATGAAGACACAAGAGACTGTGCAGTGCAGAGTTGACGGACAATGGTCGAAACCAATCCCATCTTGTTCAGGTAAGCTCGGATTCTTCCTCTGGCCTATCATCTAAAATTGCAAAACATTTATGAGAGCATGTCTGAGAAAACCAGAAAAGCTGGGCTAGGCCATCTCTCCAATTGCGTTCAAATTTTGCAAGTAGGTTTCCTTTGGGGTCTACAACAACCATGCAAAAGGGCTCGTGGCATAACGTACGGACACCTCAGAACTGGGGACCACCTGGAAATGGGACTAAGATACGACCGAATACTGGGTCCAAAAACGAGCGCAGGTACAGCGTACACGATTGAGCTGAGAACAAACCACCACCATGCCAAAACTACCATACCTCAGTAGTCTTCACATCACCACCACATAGAGCCATTGCTAGATCCAGGAATGCAATGGCCATCATCTCCAAATATCACTAAATTGCATCGCTAAAATAGCCAAATTTCAAGGGCCATAGCGGGAACCATTTACAGCGTCTATTTTTCTGAACCATGCACTGCAGGACAGTGGACTTACTCCGCTACCACCCAGGACATGTCTGGTAAAAAGAGTTCCAGGGTTTCTGGAAATATACAAATTTGAATACATGTACCTATTACTTCACCACATTGCAACATTGCCAATTTCCTACCCGACGCCGGACAGCGCGTCCTCAAGCTCCCACACCAGGCACTGCTCCAGACGCGAGCACGCCAAACACTGCAGCGTGGTCACCTCTACCAAGTCTGACAAAAAATTTGAACTGACAACCCTTGTCACTCCAAACAACAACCATTTCCTTCCCTGATCGACTCGAATTTCACTAGCAGCAAAGCTCTGCCGAAGTGGAAAAAAATTGAATAAATCTCGATTTGCGCGATCTACAGTCCATTCAGAAAAAGATGATATCCGGGCTTTTGGCCATAGATGGGTCAAATTTGGAGTTTTTGTCACATTTGTTTTGGCAATCCCCCATGGAATGCTCTTCCAATTGTGTTTTTGAAGTATATTTCTCCATAGAGCAAGCCATAACAAGAATGGGATTTCGGCCAGGTTTTGCCCCCAAAGCATTGAAATGGGGAAAAGCCATGAAAATCCAACCTGTGCACTCCACTTGCAGAACAGTACATTTGCGGTTCAAACCCCAGTTGAGGTGCCTTTTTTGGACCCAAGTTTCGAATCTCGCGGCACTGGCAGAATCACCAAACACGGGTGCTCTCCAGAGCCAGCGCTCATCTTTTTCTAAAAGGACTGTAAGCACGATATTTTTGCGTCTTGAAACTGGCCGTGCGCCGACCACCGCTTGACATAGCAGATCGACGGATGTGATCGAGTTGATCCACAATCAAGATCAGAATCACAATCTGAACGAAGAAGGCTGAACAGCAACGCGATCTTTGCGTACATACACCCGAGTTGCCGGAGTTTGCAGCACGCAGCGAGGTGTGGGTTTTCCTCAGGTTCGGTGAGGAGCGAGTGTAAGTCTGCTTGTTATAATTTTAACTGGTTTGAGGGAAAGAGACAAACGGAAAAAGTCTGAAGAAAAAATTGACTTGTACCACCCGGACTCGAACCAGGGACCCTCGCTTGTAGCCAGCGATGCTCTAACCACTGAGCTATGGTGTAGTCGTCATCCCAGCAGAGGCCGTTTAACATTTTCGTCATACTTCGTAACTCACACTTTCTGTGAATCCACTTCGGCGGGTGGGACGCAGCCCTCACTGTAACCCACACACTTCACGTACGAATTAGCACGCGGGAGCCCCAGGCCATAACATTATTATTAGACACAATCTCATAGCATGTGACAAGCATAGCTAATGCAGGGACAGAATCCCCTGAGACAAGGGCATTGAGCCAGCCACGGCAATAGTAAGCTAGGAAAACAAAGCAAATATTCATTAAAGCAAAAAAATTGAATGGAAAATTACAAAGAAAAACTATTAACGGAAGTGAGCACAATCAAAATTCGTGCATCACCCAGGTATTCGAGAATGTTCTTCGATAATAATTATTGCGTCTAGTTCAGTTGTGATAGTAGATCTTTAAACTGACCAATAGAAGAACAAGTTTTCAGACCGTATTGTAATGATAACCAATGATAGTAACCGGAAAACAAGGAGGACTTTAGATACTGGGCTGACTTAACAAGAGGCAGGATGAGCGCGTTACGGGTTGAGCTTGTCGAAAACCAATTGTACTTCATCATGTGTGAAGGGGTTTTATGAAGCAATTTTTTTTGAACCAGTGTACAGAGATGGTGCTTATGACGAACGGAGAGAGGAGAAGTGTGTGAAAGTCGATAAAGGGCATCCGAAGGAAAACATCGATCCTTGTTGTAAAGAATTTTAAGTATAAATCTATGGTGGACTTTTAATTGGTTCAGAGTTGGGTCAGAAAGGCCACACCAAGCGGTATCGCAATAGTCGAATATAGGGAGAATATAGCACTGATAAAATAATAGTTTACACTGGATGGGCAAATGAGTGCAATGTGGTTGTAGTACCCCTAGAGCTGAACTGCTTCGCTTGCATACACAGTTGATATGTGCAGCCCAAGAGAGTTTGCAGTCAAACATCACACCGAGATGTTTGTGCTGAGTAACAAGACGGATAGGCATAGTCGAGTCAGGGAAGTATAATGGTTGATCACGAGGGGATGAAGAAATATACATGGCTTCTGTCTTGTCTAAATTGGGCTGGAGTTTCCACGTTTGCATCCACATGACAGTGCTGTTGATGCGGTGCTGCATGGTAAGGAGTCATTGTGCAGGGGAGGAATCAGAACAGATAGGCCAGTGTCATCCGCATACAAACTAACATCGGGGACAACTGAAGGTAGGTCATTAACGTAAAGCAAGAATAACAAAGGACCCAGAATGGAACCTTGGGGTACTCCAGACGTTACAGGGAGGGGATCAGACAAGAAATAGGACAAGCGAACAGCCTGAGAACAAGCAGACAGATACGATTATATGCAACGCAAGGCAGCATCCTCCACCCGGAAGGTGACCTCCAACTTGGCAAGTAAGCCACGATGCCATATTTTGTTGTTCGCCGCATGTTTTCCAGTAGGGTGGTGTTAATAGTAAAAAAGGAGAAGAGAGAAAGAGAACTTTAGGACTATGACTTTGAGTTAGGCAATTGCTTTGATGTGTGTGGTGGTGTTCTTCTTCAGCAACTAACAATAAAGTTTTGGATTAATTGCTACAAGTCGCGAAGAGTGCATTTCATGAAACTAAACGCAAAGATACGCGCAAAACCAAGCGCAAAAGTAAGCGCAAAACGCACCAGAATTATCACTAATACCCCATTTATCCCTCATACACCATCTTCCCCTAATTTCCAATACTTAGACAATTTTTCCAAAAAACAGGTGAGCCAGAACCATCCTCTTCTATACTACTCACAAACCATCACAGAAGTTGCGATCGGTTCGTTTGAGTCCTTTTGAGGGAGCTGCCACCGACGGACACTTCTGTCAGCGCAAGAAAACGCTGCAACCTCGGCTCGAGTCCGTAAAAATTAATAGGTCTGGATGTTCGCATTTCAGAGCAATGGAGAATTCAGGTTCTGTCTACTTCCAGCTGTCTGGTGGCAAGAATAGTTTACCGCGGGGAGGTAAAGAAAAGCTGAAAAAGCGCTTCGGGAGCTTGAATTTCAGTGCTGGCACAGTACAGCGCCTAGTGAAGAGTTATCACCCGCAAATCGCTGACGAAGAAACTGCAGCTCATGTCGACATCTTCAGAAAGTGAGGCCAATCCGGCAGACATACTTTGAAGCTTACAGAGGACCGGGCAAAAGGAGCTGATCAAAATGAACACCAGGTCCTGAGGGAAACTCTCGTGCAAAAGACTTTCAGGAAACTAGCCGAAAAGCCTGGTGCAGGGCGTTAGGACTTAGGAAGTTAGGTACTAGGTGCAGACGCACAGTACAGGTGACCAGTGCTACATGAAGTGGAAGCTATCATTGCGATGCATGAACAAGCACCAGCGGCTCGCGTGGGTGCTGATGAGCAAGTACGACAAGCGCAAGAGGCGATTTGAAAAAAATACACTGATATGACGTTGCCTTTTTGTCTCATACAAAGCCGCATTATTGCGACGAACGGGGATAACACTTACAGCCAACACGCGGGCAGTCTCACGCAACTAAATTACTTCTGAGGGGCAAGGCGACAGGCAGCCACTGCCTTTGAGTGTGATTCGACACGAGGAGAATTGGAACAAGTCATGAAACATGCAGAAGCTGTCCAGATCGAACGTTTTGAGCTCTTGCCCCAGCGATAATAGTGGTCAGGAGGACGTGTAACTTGCTTGAATTTTCGGCTGAGTTGCTTACTGACTTGTTAATATTCATATACCTAGTACATAGTGCTTTGTAATCGTGCCATGATTCAAATACTTGGTAAGTGTATTTCCGTCCTGAAACAAGTGTGAAGATGAGCGCCAATTGTAACTGGGCGGATCAAGTACATGTAGATGTACTTTCCAGTTGCATCATTATTCCGCGTAAGATTTGGGTCGCCTGTGTGGTGTGTTCCTCCACCAATGAGCGCGTGCAATAGTCCTTGTCTGTATGGTTCGGCTGAGAGCGTGTGGTTGTGACAAGTTGGGAATGCAATAAATCGGAAATATGGCCGAAAGCTCTGTCGCAATATTTAGTTTTTCTTTAGTTGTTGCGTCGGGCCAATGAAATCGTGTTCTGTGATTGCCCGAATAAGAACCTTCTCGCTTGTGACATTGTGCTGGTTTCAATGCAGTTGTATCTCGACTCTGCCATACCACTGATGATTACGACGTGGTATACGCTACATGCGCTATGTGCGGTTTGCTTTGTGCGCTGTAGTTAGATGTTGTATGTGTATGCCTTTCTCATATACGCAATCATTTTCACGCTATAACTACCTGGTGGTTTTAGTGTTAGTTATTATTATTATTCGATCAAGTGAAATATACTGTTGAAGAGTAAATAGTGGTCTTCATGCCGTGTGGTCATTCGATCCTGACATTTAAGAGAATCTCAGAGGGTTCACAACATTTGACGACCACGCGAGGATCGAGCGAGCATGGCAGAGGAACTAGAGCAACTACATCATTGGGAAGCCAACCTTATCGCTAACGGAATTCAGTATGGATTTGAAGGCGATAGGTTGAGGGAATAAGTGGAGAAGAGGCTCCGACAGTGCGAGGAGTTTGAAGAGCGCAGTGCCAGACGGCAAGAGGGTGCGCTCCGCACAGAGTTTAACGAAAAGCTGAAGGAGATTAACGAGCGCATCGCCAGGGTGTATGAGGGTGATGGTGACGCCGCACGTGTGAGGTCGCTGGGAGGTACAGCGGAAGCTCCCAGTCACAGCGGTGGGCGTAGGCCTACATACGACAGAAGGCAACCATTGGAGCGTTATCTCGATCTGTTCAAGGACATCTGTGTCAAGAAGAAGTTCGACGAAAACGAATGGCTGCTGCGGTTGCGTATTGCTCTATTGGGTACCACGTTGAAAAGGAACTGTATTGGCTGCAGTACCTATGAGGAAGCAAAGCGACATTTGCTTGCCTCGCTCGAAAGGACGCCGGACAAGGCGTGGAAGACTTTCCTTACAGACAAGCAGCGGTCAGAGGAGTATTTGAAGCCAGTGGGAGGATCAGATACAAGGCCCACTGCGTCGGTGCAGTGCATGGCGATATCGGTCGGAGACGATGAGAAGCAGCTGGAGTCTTGGCCGAAGGAAAGGAGAAGGGCGTTTTGCGGCAAGAGAAGCTCTGCTGTAGCTGCCTCAAGTACGGGCATATGGCAAGGGAATGTCAGTCAGGCTCGAAGTGCATGAATTGCCAAATGAAGCACAATCTGCTCATAATTCTTTGTGCCATCTTCAATAGGTCCGTCAAATACAGTAGTAGTAGGTTTTTCATTTTGACCCGACGAGACCATACGACGCTTGCAGATCACAGCACGAACAGTTCACCAGCCACACTCCACGAAAGCAAGTAGTAGTGCTCCTGACAAGTCTTGTTTCGTTCCATAGAGATAATAACGGGGAACTCATCAGAGGAGAAGCAGTTGTTGAATGAAGGGGATTAGCTGAATAATGCTATTTTATAGACAAGATATTGGCGCACTGAGGTGTAAACACTCAACTAACTCACATATGTGACATATCAACACAAAAGGAATAGTGCAGAATGGAGGTGTTCTGAACCCTACCAGACACAACTATCACAAGTGCTAAATCATTCACAATGAGAAGGAGAGGTACACAGGAATAGGTTGCGCTAGTTTACACGTCACAAATGGTACTGAGGTAGTGACAAAGATAGGTGAAAAGTAGACGCCAAGTGAAAACCAACAAATCATCACGAACGTCTAACGTCACATCTGAAGATTGCTAGCGGCACAAGACAAGTACTTCACAAACCTCGATAATTGAAATTCAGCCAGCGGTATAGTGAAAGGAAGGCTGCTGGGTGTGACATAGAACTGTGGGCTGCTGAGGCGACGTATCCATCCTGATCTTGACTGCAAGGTTGGCGTCTAACTTGTCACTCCAAACGACAAGCTTCTCCTTGCGCCACCAACATGTTTCGGTGCAACAGTTGATGCAAAAGTGACAGAATTTTTGCGTGTAGTTTTGGATTGTACTGCAAGAGGAATGATGAAATCACGTGCCTCGTGACACAAGAATGCCAGGTCTCGTAGATCACGGTTCAGCAGTTGTTTCGAGTCGCCTTGATCAAGCGCACCTGCACTTACATGGATCACCCGTTGATCTACATGTAGATCGGATCAATCTTGATGTCCAGTTCAAGAGTACGAATGTCCTGTTGTAGGACCTCCAGCCGGGACTTTCCCTCAACATGCAGCACAGAGACTAGGGCGAGTAGGGGTCAAATGACGTTGTTCATGGCGTAAGAAATCTGCCACGTGGGCGCGCCACATACACCATGCAACCAGTGTAGGACGCGCGCTGGTCAACTACAACAGTCCAAGCGACCCAGGATGGGGAACATACGATGTTTTGGGGTCTTGCAGGGTTCCTGAGTGGATGGCAAGGTATTTTGATGCGCCAGTCGTGAGTCCAACAGTTGACAAGCAAGAAACTAGAGCTCCCGTGTTTGAAGGATATACATTACCCCCAAAGTTGGAACATTTTAGTAATTGTGGTCGATGTTGCGAGTGTGCAACACGATAGTCGGAAGTGACGGTGTTGTGAACTGGAGCTTTGAAGGTGTTTGTCGTTATGAAACCGGTGGGTCACTGAACGTTCATATCCTCATCTACATGTATATTGGCACTGATTCATCTTTAGCCACTGGAAGGTGTAATAATAATAATAAAAAATAATCCCCAGTGATGTTGTCGCTGGGAGAGCACAGCACAATGAAAGACTCTTCGAGGGAAATGTTCATTAGTCTTCTCAGGCACTCCTGGTGAGGCGTGAATTCACCGAAACACTGTGCACTGAGCGAGGAATAGTGCCTTCTTGCAGGGTTGGCAAATGGACAGTTCGGCATTTGTTTGTTTCCCAGAGACCAATGACGAGTCAGACAAGTGTCTGTCAGCCGCCAGGAATCTCGAACTCGAACTTGGATCAGCCACATTCGTCTACAAGATAGATATAACATGACTTCATGAAGTAGTACACCTTCCGTTGCAATGTATTTACTTGCTCTTCCATTTTTTTTGTCTCTTGGTGCTATGATACAGCTGTAGAATGCCCTGTACCATCTACATCGCACTTCAATGGAAACACATCGCTGTTTCCACGCAAGCAGTACTACAGATATGCATTTCGCAGTGGTGCCATAAACTTCGAATGCAACCCAGGATATCACATCACTGGGCAAGAAAGCAATGTCACGATCTTGGGAGTGAAGTGCGAAACCAGTGGAGAATGGTCACACAAAACAGGGGACATTACATGCGAACGTGAGTATTTTCTAGATATTATTTTTGTTATAAATGCAAACATGGTGTTTCATCCTACTATCCCAACGCAAAAACTGTGATAACAATAAACATGTCTTTAACCCCAGAACGTTTCTTTCAGTTAACTATCCTACAGCTCGTGTCCCAAAGCACAACTGTAGACTATTTCTCATAGACTAATATGCTCAATTTTTGCCCATAATAATAGTAATAAATAGAACTCTGCCGTTGTAAACACGTGTCAGTTATGTCCATTGTTCAGTGAATATATTTATTGCACTACATGTCTAACTGATTGATAAAAGAGTTCGACATTGCTGAGTGCATGCGGGAAAGAGGGGTCTGCTCTGAAGCCTTTCGCTACGAATGAAGCTGCAGGAAGCCTCACCACCGCTTCTAATCTCTCAAGATGTAGACAAAGAGCCTGAAGTGTGTTTCTCTCCTTAGTATTGTATCTGAGAAAGATTGAGAGGAAAATAGATCAATGAGGAATTCACCAAATAGAGGGTCTAGAAAAATCAAAATAGGGAGTACTACAAGTAACGAATGTGAATTTGATCTTCTCCTGCTGCTTCTACATGCGTGGTTTCGTGATGTGCTGGTCCCGATTTGTAAACCCTTACCGAATTTCCAACTCCCTCTCAACGATGTAATCACCATTGTGTTATTTCCCCCGCATATCTTCTTTCACAGCAATATCGTGTGGAAGGCCAAATATTACCAATGCTGCTGGGATAGAATATACGAACATCACCATTGGAAGCAGTGCAACTGTGGAGTGCCTGTCCGGTTACTATTGGTCACAGAGCATATCTGAGAACACCCAGAATAGCACCATTACATGTCAACAGAATCGCGAGTGGTCAAAGGGCTACTGTGAAGGTGAGATAGTACATTATAATTATTATGCGTTTAATGAGAATGTTCACAGTGAAAAGTCTTTTCTCTGTCCAATAGGGTTACCACTAGATACTTGCTAGTATGTGTCATCCGCATCCACCTCCACTTCATGTATTTGGAGATATTCCAATCAATTTATAGGCAATGTTGAGTCACCTCCACCATTACACTGCGCTCTTTAGCCGACTAGACCCTCCTGCACACAACCATCACCACTGCGAGGACACTTCCGTAGACGATATTGACTACTTCTTCAGACACCTGTTCCGTTTAGTTGTTTAAGCAATTTTGCCAATACAGTGGGCAGACGCATCGGGAGGGAGGGGTGAGGGAGGGGTAGTAGGTTAGGGGATAAGGGATGGAGCCAGCGCGATCATAGTATACAATCAAGAGTACATTATATACTGGGGGATTTCTCCGGTTTGGATGATAGGTTATAGAGGCTGTCAACTCCGCGAAGGAGTGCTTCGACCTTAGCTTGAGAAGCAGAGATTTGTAGAAGGGGCTGAGGACGGCGGCGGTGGTGTTTATGGCTGGAGTTTGCTCATCCGCATTCCCCACACTTATCTGCATTGCCCACGGAAAGCGTGCTCTGTGAAATTAAGAATTCATTGAGGGTAGCGTCTTTTTGTGTAGGAGTTTGGCGTTCGGCTTGTACAATTCATTTCCGCAAAGCTTCCCCCATCTGTATATTTATCCTTGATATTTCTGAGCCATCCAAGTTGGGTGGTGTGCTGCTTTGCTGCTTCGAATTGTAGTTAGACCACTTTGTCAAGTATCTTACTGGTCTCGTCATCGCCATGTAACAATCGACCTTCTTTGTTCCGTTGGGACTGTAGCGTGTGCTCGTTTTCGTTGCGCTTACCTTTCCCTTTTTGGTCTCTCCTTAACCTTGAACCTTCCGATTTGGAAGGCTGTTGGTTAGCGCTACGGAGATGTGTTGAAGCTACGTGTCAGGACGTGGAATGTTTCAGTATACAACATACAAGACATCAAGTGATATAGCATAATACCTTCGTCGTCTCACTGGTGGTCTCACATCAACCCATCATGCCCATGCAACTCCATTCCCGGCTGAAAAAGTGCCAACATGTACCGATGTTTAATGTATACAAAAGAGAAAGACCAAGGAACTACAAGTTACGGCTTACTGTCCACTAACACCACCAGTTACTAAACAATCAGCTCATACGATAACATTGCACGACACTGACCGACGGTACTGACGTTCTACAACTAACTGGCTAACAGCTCTAACACATCTTGGTCGTTAGTGGACAGTATAGCGTAACTTGTAGTTCCTTGGTCTTTCTCTTTTGTATAAATTAAACCTTGGCTCTCCATCTGAGTCCATTCATGTACCGATGTGACATGATTTTCCATCATCAAGTATAGAGCCATTATGCTGGTTACCCGTCACGAGTGTAATAGTTTTAATTTGACACTTCTTGCTTGTCTTATGGTAACACCTTGTGTTCCTACTATTCTCACTCCTGCGGTTCTCGCCTTTCTTTTGCTTTATAACCTCTGGTTTGAACATCATTCGGGGAATTCTCCAATCAATCAAGTCTATACTGTTACAACGCGTGCATCATCATTACATCACTGAAACGTCATAATTACGTAATACATCATCCACCAGATGGTTGCATTCCCTGTGCAACGGCTCTTACTCAGGATATGAGTGATAGAGAATCTATATGATTCCACATGTCATTTTCTGGCCTTCTGTTCCTGCAGCTATCAGGTGTCCCGCTCTACCTCCCATATACAACGTTGAATCGGATAACATTACTATAAACAGCAACACCGATCACTCCTTCAAAGGCTCAACGCTGCAAATCACAGTGGGTAGGTATCTGGACATCGTCAATTTTCACTGCAAGAGTGAGCCATTCCCTGAGGACTACGACCCAAGGACTGGCTTGTCGGTAGAGTGCGGGGAAAACGGCACATGGTCATCCCAGAATTTGAGTTGCATTGGAGGTAAGAATGTGTACCCCCCCCCCCCCCACACACACACACTATCGACCTCCTCCGAAAAGCATACTACACGTACATGGCAGCGCGCAGAGAATTGATGCAAGAAAGGAACAACACCATCTTAACCGTAGCATGCCCTTCACGAAAATTAATATTCTGTATACGATCTATTTTGATCCTAGAGGGTGGTGGCGTTCCCACGGCGGATGCGGAAAACTCGGCTTCCAGCCGAGTCTCACGCGAACCGTGAAATTTATATATTTTATACGATCTATTAGTACATGATTGTACTGGGATTTGGGTCGGTGATGCGTACACAGAAACACCGTTCCGAATAATTACTATTCGAATTATGATACGGGTGATGTGGGCTGCTATTAATGATCGACAATTGTTGGACAAGTACGCGAAACAGGGAAACGAGAAGACTTCCCCATGCTTTCCCAACCGTTGCTCTTCGATGCAGCTACGTTGGTGATATGCGCAGCAGGGAACCAGTCCTTATGACTAGCTTTCAAGGCGAAAAAATCATTGACAAAATGGGACGCCCAGCGGCACAAACTTCAAAGATTTCCGAACATGCTAAACTTCTCAATTACTTCAGGCACTATTGAAACCATGGCATGACGTGTAGACCAATTGTCTCCCCCGGAATCCTTGAGGCATTTACGGTACCACACTGTCTAAGGACGATGCTGCGCTTTTTCATTGGCGTACAGATCCTCTCCCCACGCAACCGATTCCAGGATGTCCTTTAAAAGCATTAAAGGTGGATGGTGTAGGCCACGGGCGACTACAAGTGACGAAACCAGCAGCTCCGATCACCGACAACAGTCCAGACGAATCGTCACCACTAGATTCTGCCAAGCCATTCTCCAACATCACACTGACATGCGATGATGGGTATCACGTGACTGGGCAGGGAAAGGATACTTACGCTGCAGTATCTACATGCAATGAGAGTGGAAGATGGTCACCTGACTGGACTGCCTCTCTGCCAACCTGTACTGGTAAGGGTTCTCGTAACAGGTTATTCAGAATCAACTCTGCTAGATTTATTTTTCAAGACCCCTATTCGCCGGATTCATGCCCTCTACGTCCAGCCGCATCCGTACCACGGCCACTCCCAGGGTGTCAAAGGCTGTGCAAGTTGAAAGTCATATGCACTTTGTGTTGTAGGTAGAGTGCACTGAAGTAAGATTCCCCCTCTCTCCTCCACTTCCCTTTTTGACCATCATTTGCGGTGCGTGATGTACCGATGCTACACTGCATTCGTTGCCCAGAAATACAGACCAACAGAGCTGGAGATATTGCTTCCAAACTGAACCAAACCATTACACTCCGTGCGGAAAAATCCGACCCCATGCATAAAGTAGCGCCGTGCTCATGAGGGCGGATTTCTCTGGCTAGGACTGTACAGTCATGTACATACTAGTAGTCCACAGCCGAAAGCCTGTTTGCAGTCTAACTAACGAACGGAGCTAGCTTTTAAAAACGGCTCCTCACAACGACATTTCTAAAAAACACTTTCCTTCATTGCCTTCTTTTCCTGTAGATCCAGGCAGAAAAAAGAATACTATTATGAGTGAGAATATAACTGATATAATTATCTATATAACTGTACCATGTAAAGGTGATAGCGGTAGCAGTATTGGAGAGGGATAGCGAGAGAGCAACACGGAAAATGTATACATGGAGGCTGACAAGGAGGACAACAAGGCAACACTGTCCATTTTGATCAGTTTGTTCTCCATACGAGTAGTAGTATTCTTATCAGAATACAAGAAATGAATGTCACGCCTACGCTCACCTATTAGATCTACTCCTTCACACGGACATGTAGATCTACATCACTCAGGTGTGAATATTATAGCGTGCATGTAGTCTATGATGTTGCAGAATCAACACTTTCCCTCTTTCCTCCAAACCAGTGAATCAACACTTTCCGGACAAATTTTGGGTACATTCCCACTATTTTCACTGCATCTATTATTATCTTTAGAGTTTCTGTTCTCTCTCAACGGTGGTCGGTCTATGCGTTAGTATCTTTTCTCCCTGTTACCACAGAGGACAGAATGAAAGAACATGTTGAGAATTTCGTAAATGCTGCTTGTGCCGAGCCAAAAGCTAGTCTTGCTCATGGATGTGGTTGAAATTCAAGTTTGCGTTTGAGAAAACTATGTACCAGGCGATAACCATGATAACAGAGGCCAGTTGGCTTCTGTGCCGAAGTGGCGATCATCACTGTCTTTACTTCTTCAATCTTTGTCGTATCTTCGCTCGTAGAGAAGGAAGTGGGCAAGCAACGAGACTCGAACCTCACTACCCTAAAAATGGTAAGAGTTCTAGTGATTTGCAAATAAAAGGGCACCATCTATCCCTCTCTCCTCTCTCTCTTCTTTCCCTCTTCTCGCTCTCTGTCTCTCTCTATTATGTACAGAATGGAGAACCCCTCAATAGGCCTAAACGGCCTCTGGGGAATCCTGTAAATAAATTATACAGATTACACAATTATTATTATACTATCTCTCCTCTCTTTTTCTCTCTTTATCTCTCTCTATCTCTCTCTCTCTCTGTCTCTCTCTCTCTCTCTCTCTCTCTCTCTCGCTCTCTCTCTCTCTCTCTCTCTCTCTCTCTCTCTCTCTCTGCCTGTCTCTCTCTCTCTGTCTATCTGTCTCTCTCTTTCTCTCTGTCTCTCCCTTTCTCTTTCTCTCTGCCTTTCTCTCTCTCTCTATTTCTCTCTCTCTCTCCCGATTTCTCTCTCCTGAAAAAAACACGTAGACGATATTTGGCGCGATACAACATATTGACAAACACCTTACACGCGATGTAACAATCCCACTTCAGGCATCCTACAAGCTGATCCAAAACCTTTACAAACTGTCGAAGTTCAGTATATCGAGGTTCTTTGCAGCAAGTAGTGGTCCTTTCCCAGGCGAGGGCCGAGCGTACCACACAAGCCAAACATCTTTCTGTAGCAGTGAGTTTTGTGTCAGAAAATCGATTCTGGGTTGTATTGTTGATTTACCAAAAATTCGAACAAATTGCGTGGTGATGTCTGCGGCCTTAATTCTATACATGGCCAACTCTGTCAGCTTGCGCCTCTACTCTAATACTCGAATGTTCCTTTTCCTCGACATATTCTTGCAGGCGATTGACAATGCAGTGAGTCCAGATGAAGTCCGAGGTTTTGCTACTAAGCTACAGCAGTTATCTGCCACATCGCCAGGTGATCTGGTGACTGCTAACGGCGCCTCACTCCTCGCGTCTCTGGTGAATAAATCCATCCGGGTTCAGGCTGTCAATGGATCAGGATCGGAGTTTGTAAACACGGTGAGTGGGCGAACACTTCCTTTTGAGAAAGGATGAGTGTCTGTATCTTATTCCACGGCGGATAACAGCCATTGTGGAAATTTATGTACAAATGCTTTTCTATCTCTGCACAGCTCAATGGGTCGAATTTGCTAGCTCTCCAGTCTGTGGAGCTGGGAGGTACTGCCAGAACTACAGTCAACTTTGTGTATAACCACACTCGGCAGGGCATCAGAAAGGTGTCCTTATTCACGAAGTGTCCTTTTACTCGAAGTCTCATTACATGTATACAACTAGTCAGATAAGACTTTACTCTGGGCATGGAAATTTTGCCGTTATTCGCGAATTGTCGTAATACCCGCAGTCGTTATTAGCGAAGTTGACCGTAGTTGTGATAGAGTAAGGCAAAGACCAACGCTTTCTCAATCAACTCAAGGCATAAGTTCGTTGATGGCGTCTTCATTTACTCCATCCAACAGTAGTAGTTAGGTTCTTTTTCCCGTCCTGACGACATGCAGACACCAGCACAAATAGTTCACCAGCACCACTCCACGGCAGCAAGAAGTTCCTCCTGACAAGCTTGCTTCATTCCATAATAAAAATAACATACAGTGGCTTGACTGTTGACGCCCCTGGCCAGCTAGCTGCTCAGTGGTGACGTGCGTACAACCGGTCAATGCCATGTTGCCAGTACCACAGCCAGTGCGTATGCTGACAAAGTAATAATACAATTATGTACACCATAGCTACATTGCAGCTTGTTTATGTTTACTGTCCGTTCTATATCAACATCTTCTGCAAGGTCACACGCAATGTCGCCACCACCGTTAGCAACCTGATGAAGAACGTTCCTCAAGACGCTCCAGGCAATGCCCCGCTGTCCAAGGCAACAGTCATGTAAGCAAACCTAAGGGAAGCATGTATTTCACACTGTACGTGTCCATTTCCTAGGATAGTAACAACCTTCAGGGCGCAAGCTTGAGAGAAATTAATACCGATCGTAAACGGAGTATGACACCTGCGTATCATAATGTGTACGATAGCGGTCACACTGATTTTCTCCATTTTCTACCTTCAGTGCACACGCTAGAGAGGAATTTATTCCGAATGAAAACCGAGTATTACAACTCCTTCGAAGTACGTGTCATAATGATCATCGTCTCCGGAGCACAGTGCTACCACCTGGCACCCCCCCCCCCCTGTTTGTTGGAATGGATACTTTTGCAATACAGTGATATAGCCGATCAGTTCGTTGTGGTGTGGTTGGGCATTGCAGCCGTCATGGTCGACGTAAAACACTATAAGACCGCAACTAAGTTGGGGCAAAAGAGAAAGTTCCATCAGTTCTAATAACATGCATGATGAGCTAGGCAAAAATCATAGCGTAGGGCTCTGAGCTTCCAAACTCTCTCGTTACAAGTAGACGTGTGATTGTGAATGCTTTTCTTCCAGAATCCGCATAGCGTTGGAAACGTTAATGGAGGCTACAGCCGTCTCTTTTCACACGCCATTCCAAGTATCTTCTCCAAACCTAGCCCTGAGTTGCCATTGCCCGAGCCAGTCCTACTCTCAGCTCTCCGTTTCAGATGAAACCAGCAACGACAATCATTCATCACTTGCGATTTTATCGGAGAGCAGTGGCGAGCCAAGCATCTTGGCAGGTGTGCATGTTCCACCGCTGATGCGATCATCCCCTACGAGTGATCCGGAAAACCATAGTGAGTGTGGTCAAGCTTCGCCTGTGGAGATCATTGCCTATCGGACTCCTATGCTATTCCGTCCCAGTGGTGAAGACCTGAAGCCGGGATCTTCAGCACCAGAGGCTATCCAAAGTGTTGTGCTGAGCGTAAAGTTTCGTGGGCATGACCACGTGGACCTACTTGGCAACCCGGTCCAGTTGAACTTCACACATAAAGTGAGTATGTTCTTCAATCTGTTTGGTTTGGACTTGTTTTGAGGATTTCGCTTTTAAGCGTTACTTAAAATTAACTCTGCCTTATCTCCAGCTGAGAAAATAATGCCTAACTGTAGTCTGGCATTTACAATGCGCAGGTATGAAACCAAAATAGGTTTGGGGTATTGCCTTCTCCCCCTGGCCCCCGCCACACAACAAAGCAAACTCTTCATTGTGTGTCTCAATTCTTATATTAACAACAAACGACGAGGGCACAGGAGGAGAAAGACGAAAAGACTAGACTGAGCCAAAACGACGACGAGAAAAGACACGAAGAAACAACAAAGAACAAGCAGTAATAAAGAGACGACAGATCGTGACGACCAATCAGGGACCAACACGTACAAAAACATGACCAAGACCAAGACAACCAGACCACGGACGAATCACACATGACTCTCATTCCCAGACTAAACTAAATTAGCACTGCGCATGCACAGCAATCACTTGACAGTCACGCACAGACGGAAGCAGAACCTCAAACTCTGACAACTCGTACTCTTGCATGCACCACATACCATAAACGTCCCACATCACACCATGCTCACACGTACACTTACACCATATTATGACATCAGACACTGGACTCTACCAGACAAGAACCAAAACAATACAGCAACATGCGTAAATGATAGTGGAACGGAATTTGGCAACAGGTAGATCTATCTAAAATGGTTGCTCCTACTTGAACCCACATAGGATAAAATGAGCTAGTGTTGAATGCAGGTATTGGTTAGGTGCAGTTATTGTGCATATTTCTCTTCTTCAATTACGGAGGCTCCACTGCCACCAATTACTCATGCCTCAATCCACTTCTTCACCACCACCGCGACCACAATGATTGCCGTGTAAGACCGTGTTGGTGAAGAAGGAGATTCGGCATATTTCTCTCTCTTACAAGCAGTTTTGTGTTTGTGTGCCTGTGTATTTGTGGCACTTTCTTTTAGCCATATGTACATGCCTACAGGTTCACATGAAACCAAGACAAAATGACTAGGCCACGATGTCTCTGCGTGTTTTGCTTACGTTTCTATGCATGTGCGCGCATGCATGTGTGCATGTGTGCGTGTGTGTGCGTGTGTGCGTGTGTGTGTGTGTGTGTGTGTGTGTGCGTGTGTGTGTGTGTGCGTGCACTCGTACAATATGAAGGACATAGGCGGTACGCACCGCGCTCTGTGTTCCTATTGGCACGAAAACACTGGTAAGGCAGGTGCTAGTATGAATTGAAAAGTTGCAAAGCTTAGTTCAGTCCTCATACTTTGCATTGGATCATGACCATACGTGCTGAAGCATGTTGCAATCCACTTCAGGACCCATGGAATGAGCGTACTGTACGGCCTCATTTCATTAGAAGTGTACTACTGTATTGTGCAAGAAAGCTAGTGCCTTCCCTGTGCAGAAAGAGTATTTTTATTCCATTATTGGTGCCATGGAAGCTTAGTATTTCAACTTGGTAGGGGACTGTTCCTGTCCCAATCTTGACCACTCACACAAGCCTACAGTCGGATTAGAGCATCTAACACCAAATTTGGGGCGAAATGAATTTGCTACTTGCTACTATCCGCACCTTGATCCTTTTTAAACGGTTGGCGGAGTTCTTAAAATATGCGGAAAGGTCAGTCGGTCGAAATCCGTGCACTGTTGATTTTCTCTTGTTATCTTTAGGCAGGCAGGCATAGTGGGATGGTCTAAGACCATGATTGAGAAACAGAGGGTACCAGGTTCAAGTCCTGCTTGGAGGCGGAAGGAATTTTTCCAGTCTTTCTGCGACCCACAGTTATTTGGGAACTTGTGGCCTGGCACGAGGGAAACATGGATGCAGCTAATGGGATTTCGGTCTTTGACCACTTGTTGGTGGGTCTGATCTACTCACCTCCCACCGTTTAGGCGCTGCATCTGCGCCTTTGATCCTAGAGGGTGGTGGCGTTCCCACGACGGATGCGGAAAACTGGGCTTCCAGCCGAGTCTCACGCGAACCGTGAAATTTATTTATTTTATTACCTTTGGCTATGTGTCTAGAATCATGGAGGCAGGATGGCTGTCGGGCCATCTCATCCGGCAAAAATCCAGGAATGACAAGCTGTGAATGTGATCACTTGACCAACTTCGCCCTGCTGTTCGTAAGTGGTGGCTATGGATTGTGCTTCTGGTCTCGAAATAGTCCGTTGGGTTAATACAGACTAAACGTGGCACAATTGTGTCTTCTGCAGTGCTAGGACTGGATAGACAACTCACAAATGGTCCAGATCGTTTTGGTATCTCTCTTGTTTGCAACGGCGAAAGGCAAGAGAGGGAGCTAAAACAGTTGCAAGAGGCTAAAATATAACTCCTCACTAGCTGTATGACCAGCACCTGGTCAAAGCGTGTATTATAATACCGTTTGCCAGACCTTGTGCCAAGCGGAATCCTGTATTGACCAGACACATGTTAATAAACCGACGTGCCGTTCTTTGAACCTGCATAAAATGGAATCATGTCATATCAGGACAGTTTCCGCTGCACCATTCCAAGGCCAAATTTGTCCGGATATGGCACGCTTTAGTGTACATGTATATTGCAACAATTACTCCCAGCTATTATTGTGTTTTATGTGGAATGTTTGGCAATGCTGCATTCAAGGTGTTCGGCAGTGTCCGTGTTCGCTCAGTGTAGAAATGATTTGTTCTTGTATAATTATGTGTGCCAGTCGACCTTTCCTCCATCAAGAGTACATGAAACCAAGAGTGAGCAGCTTCTGACTTTTTCTCTATGGCCAAATTCCGCGATAACATCATGTTTTGGTGCAGGTCTGAGGCGGGAAGCGGCGTAGTGCGTAGAACTGAGCTGCATTTCTGCAGAAAGAGACCTGCTTGGATCCTGCTTGCATGCACCACATCACTAAGATGATGTAATCGAGGAATTTCGCCGCGACAGCAACCCATCCGAGCTGCACACTCTGGGTTTCATATACTCTTGCCTCTATGCACTATGCACTATGCACTATGCACTATGGACTATGCACTATGCACTTTGTACTGTACAATATGCACTATGCACTATGCACTATGCACTATGCACTATGCTTTATGCACTATACACTATGCACTATGTTCACGCAGGTTCGTGATGATGTCATCACATCCGATGGGCATGGCAACGCAGGCAGAGCCCTGACGATCATTACATTCGTAGGCAGCGCGCTGAGCATCATCTGCCTTCTGGCCACCGTTGTCATTATCCTCTACTTCAAGTAAGACAGTAAATCAGAGACATGCTGCATGACATGTTTGGTCAAATTCGTATCTCCAGGGGCCTTATAAAATGTATGTTACACATACCGCATTTTTGGGAGTATACGTCGCACTGGTAACACCAGTAATTCACCCCAAGAAAACTCCGATTTACACTACGATGTTCAAATTAACGGTGAAAAAATGAAGGAAGATGTCTGTATGTCAGGACAAAAAAAACCTGGGTACAGCTTCTTATCTACTCCGGTGCAGCTTGTACTCCGGTGCAGCTTTAGTTTCACGAGAATGAATCAGTTTTAATGAATCTCTAAAACTGCTTAGTCTCCAATGAAAGATGGTCATGGTTTCTGTACATAGATTTCTGTAACACCAGTAGAATACACTTGTGTCACAAGTGGTATTTGTGAATCTTGCACTGACTGTTTCTGTTGCCACCTTGCAGGAAGCTTCGCACCAAGCCGTTCCAGCAGACAGCACTGCAGCTATCTCTGGCACTCATCCTCAACACCGTGCTGGTTCTGCTGGTGATGCAGGGACGAGACGAGAACATGCTCAGCGCCGATAACGACAGCCTGTGCACCGCTCTGGCCGTGGTAATGCACCTCAGCTTGCTCGTGGTGTTCGGCTTGATGGCAGCGGCGGCGGTACACCTGTACCTGATCATCGTGAAGACTAAACACGACCAGCGCACCGTACGCCTAGTCTATGCCCTTGCCTATGGTAAGTCTGTTCACCCTCCTATACCTGGAAACCCTCAATAATTTCAACATAGTTCTATCCAAGAGTGCACGACGTCCTCACTTCTACCTCCTGCCCACTCACACTGCTCCCTGTTTCCTCTCCACTCTACTACATTCCATGATCACCACGTGGAACTCCCTCCCTACCGAGATTAGGATATCTGAAGCCCGTGGTGTATTTAGCCGGCACGTTAAGTCCCATTTCCACAGGTAAAGATTCCATTCTCGATGTGACCGCGATTGGCCCATATGTTGTAGTCTTTTGGACGCTGAGTCGACTGGTTTTGGTCCGAAAAGGCTGCGATGCAGCGTTCCTCCTTTATTCCCAATCGAACATGGTTGAACAAGCGGTCACGTGCTCCTGCGTACACCAGTCACCTGGTCACCGTGCCTGCAGGGTACAACTTACTAGCCTGTTTGACCGTTTTGAGTGCAGTCATGTCACTCGAGTTGAATCTTGGTGTGAAAGTTGTCGCCTGCTGGCGTGGTGACCAGGTGATTTGGGCACCCAGGCGCACGTGACCGCTTGTTCAACCATGTTCGATTGGGAATAAAGGAGGAACGCTGCATCGCAGCCTTTTCTGCCCAAAACCAGTCGACTCAGCGGTCAAAACACTACAACATATAAGCCAATCGCGGTCATCCGTGCTTTTATAAGAACGGCATGGCGCTTTCATTGACATTTTGCATACAAATCCCCATCTAGTAGGGCGCAGTCACCCAGTTTCGGTGGAAATGCGCGAGTTCGATTGGGATTAAAGTAGGATGGGAGCGTCTCAGCTTTCTCGGACCAAGACTATTCGACTCAGCACCTCGAAGACTACAACTGGTGAAATTTTGATTTTAGCCTTAACTTCCCCTTGAATGTTTTTGAAATAATTATAGAGCCTAGATCAGTGGTACCTGGAGCAAACATGGTACACTCTGTACCATAGTGACCGTACCGTGTCCGACAGCCCTGTGAATAATGATACTAATGATTATGTTTGAAGCGCTCTGGCCTGATACTAGGTGGCAGATGGCGTGAGAGATTCACTCCCTGATCGTACATTTGTTTATCAAGAGCCAATACCCCCAAGTATATAACTTTGCACAGGGAATATGGCACAGCGGTCTGCCCACACTACATAGCCACAGACTAGTGAATATGCTAGGCCATTGTGTCGCTATTGGTCCAAGCACGACTAAAAAGGGCTGGACAATTGAACTAAGAAATTCCTAACTCCGTTCTTTTGCATTACGTTATTTCCCCCACAGGTACCCCATTCATCATCGTTGTTTTTCCAGCCGGCATAACAAGACTTGACGCCTACGGCTCGGAAAAGCTGTGAGTGGTGGACTTAGTATTCTCTGTTTGTTTGCATGTGTGTGTCACTGTGTGTGTGTGCATGTGTGTGCGCGCGTGCGTGCATGCGCATGCGTGTGTGTGTGTGGGGGGGGGGTGTATGTGTGTGAATGTGTGAGTGTGTGCATTATGTACATGCGAAATAGCTACACATGCTGTATGACGAATGATAGCGTCCTTAAATGAACATGTATGTACTACTCTGTACGTGTATAAGACAAGGTGTAGTCATGATTTCTACCTCTCTATGCCTGTGCAGATGTTGGCTAAAGGATGACAGTACATTTTACACCACCGTCGTAACACCGCTCTGTGGCATGCTGGTGTTTAACTGCATCATGCTGACCAGTATTGCCAAGTACCTGTACCACGTACGCAAGAACCTCAGCTCTCAGAAGCAGGGGCGCGAGATCAACTTAGTTACCGTGGTGATATCCATGTCGGTGGTGATTGGCCTGGCTTGGATCAGCGGCGTGTTGCTTGTGATCCGTAACACTGTTGCGACGCAGTACATCTTTACTCTGCTCGTGAGCACACAAGGCTGCCTCATGTTCGCCGTCCACACGGCACGATCCCCCGACGTTCGTCAGGAACTGCTCAAGTCGGTTCACTCGTCCACCGCGTCTTCCGCCTTGTCAACAAAGCGTCGCCGCGGGTCCAAGGGGAATGGTAGCACGTCCACCTCCTTTGTCCTGGATCACATCCGCAGCTTGTCCCTGTTCAGCCGACGCAGCTCCGCGACACTTTCCCAGCCAACCAGTAGCAGTGTATGAGACTACAATCAGTGTGCACTGGTACTGCTCGGAGCCCAGTCCAGTATATCGAGTGCTAGGTCTTACAGGTCATGGGACATCAGTAAGTAGTTACATAACTGTTACTACGTCTGCTTGGCCTCCGACTGCATGTTGGCATGCCAGTCAGCTGATCTTGGATATACAGTACATGTACTCTCGCAGTAAGTTTCATATTTTTTTGTGCTTGCATGTACATGTATGTTATATTTTAAAACAGCACAGTATGCTATAATTATGTTCTTGCAATTTTCCCTGACTCTACTCTGCATGTTGGCATACAAGTCAGCTGATCTTGGATAAACAGTACATGTACTGCGGTAATAATAAATTACAAATCTTTTTTTGTGTATGGAGGTACGTTCTACTTTAAAAGCATCACAGTAAGCTGTATATTCCAGCAATTTCCCCTGGCAAGTCTCACGATGACATTATGTGTCCGCTGGGGTTTTCAATCCAGTGCTTCATCTTATGCGCCTACGGCAAAAGTTGGAGTAAACAAAATATTTCATTCTAGCCTGAATGGCCCAATTCACGGCAGGAGGAAAGCCGATTGCCACAATCTTGTGGCTGGCTATGTATGATCTATGTTATGCCCTTATCACATCAGGTACACGGCCTCGTGTCCCCACAACTAAATTGCCTAAACTAAATTGCCTCCTTCCCCAGCCGGTTTTTGTTTATCTTGGACATGCTTTTTTTTAAATTTTCGATGTGACCTTTTGTGTCAGAGTTGTAGCTGCACTTCTCGTTCATGCGCAAGAATACCAAACATCCATGATGATCTTCTTTGCTTCAATACATTTCTGCAAAAATCATTTCTTTTCTTCACTTCTTTTTGAATGATGCCTTGTCTTAATCTGCAAGTTCCATTTCGGTCTCGTTTCGTGTGTTTTTAGCACAGTATTTGTATGGGTCTGATCAGAGTGTTTCCAATCAATTTTTTTTACATTTCATTACTTGATAAATGTTCCTGTCTGGTGCATTTCCGCTGCTAAACATTAATAATAATTCCCGTAGCTATGCAGAAGACGTTACTTCAGTAACGTCTGGCGCTAGCCAGGGTCCATACAGCTTTAATTTGGGGTTTGTTTGTTTGTGGTGGACGGACCTCCGTCTGGCGCTATCCCGTATCTGTCCCGTACCGTACCATACCATCAAAGACGGCTGCCCACAAACAGCTGGAAGCCTACGCGGAGGCTGTTGGACTTCTGGGAAAAACAAACAGCTGGCCACAATATTCAAATAGGGCTTTCAAATGCAAGATCATAACGTGAAGCAACTTTGAAGAATTACTGTAAAAGCCATATTATATTAAAATAGAAAACGTTATACAGAAATCAATACATATACTGTCCTATTGAGCGTTGAGAATGAGTGAGAATCTTTACCTTTGGTACACGTAAACTAGTCAATTTTGGGAAATCGTTATATATGCGCCTCGTTAGAATAATGGCTTTTACAGTAGTACGTATGCGAAGTGTATCGGGGGATGCATGCAGGGCGATAGTGCGGATTCGAATTATGTCTTTAACAAAAATAGGAGAAATGAAAAATTTACTATGCTTTTTTTGCCTAGGTCATCAAGGCAAAAAAGCATAGCGTAGGGCTCTGAGCTTCCAAGCTCTCTCGTTAGCGGGCGTGTTGATCACAGTAATAATGACAGGAGTCACAGGATCAATGCAAATAGTAACTTCAACGTACTTGTATTGCATTGATAGCTCCACCCCCCCCCCTCCCCCTCCCCTCCCCGCCCTATAATCGGTGATTCAGAGATACGGTGGTGGCCCTCTCTTAAAATTCCAACTGGGGATGCGTTCACAGCACACACGGAGAGACCTGGTGCCTATGCTCTACCCTAGTGCTGAGTCGGGTATCGGGTTCGGGTAGTTTTCCACGGGCAGCACGGGTACCCTACCGGGTAATGTCTCCATGGTAACACCACAATGCACCGCTTCCCTTACACACTGGGTAGACATGGGGAGTATTACATGAATTTGTACACGTGAACCCTACATGATGTCATCTGCGACTTGGGGTTTTCGGGTACTATTCTGTACCCGTCTACCCGAGGTCCTCACGGGTAGCAGGGGACCCGACTACCCGTGCACACCCCTACTCTACCCATCCCATACAATGATCCCCCCCCCTCCATTCAGAAAGCAGACACTTATGGGCAGATGAGACGACATCATGCCTTGATACTGATGCAGCTATCATCACACCATAGCCATAGTCAAGTCCATGCAGTCACGAGGCAGCAGAATAACCATTGTTGAGCTATGCCAGGCATAGCAATTGGCTGTGGAATCACACAGCACCGTTCCGTACCTCACAAGGCCGGTGACCACCACGGTCGCATACGAGATTATGACACAGACGGCACCGACAGACACATGCACACACACACACACACACACACACACACACACACACACACACACACACACACACACACACATGCACACATGCACGCATGCACAACAACACATACCACCAGCACAAGCACAAGCAGTGAGGTAACCAACATATCACTTACAGACAGGCACACACTGAAAAAGAGCAGCGTACACTGCATCTAACAGTAACACCATTGACCTAACGCACAGAGAATTGTGACGTTGCTAAGAATTGAAAAAAATATTGCTCAGATTTCACTGGAGGCATAAAAACATGGTGGTTCCAACAAAGAGCGGACCATCCACGAATATGAGAAATCAAGCTTTGAAGAGAGAAACCAAACTGAAGTAGAACATTTAATTACCTAAGAATCTGGGAGAAATGATCATGCCCGATGTGTCAAAAGAACACAAGGCTGAAAAGACTCAAAACACCGAAGAACGCATGGAAACATTTATCATCTTGGAAGGAGGAGGCAATGCAAATAGTCGTGATCGAATCACATTTCTAAGAGTCGTTCAAAAGTTTTACTCAACACTCCCGTCGTCAGATTATGTGTTATGTTGAGAGTACAAGAAGTCAAAAGAATGCCCAACCAAGTACAGGCACTTTTACAGGTAATTCAAAAAGAATGCAACTCAATCAAGAATGTTTCAAATATTCCAGGAATGTTATCAAGCAAATAACCTTCAGGTGGAATGCATTAAAAAATGGGCGCGTAAGTAGCTATACCCAGGCCAACGGAAGAAAATGTGAGTTAGTGAGGATAAGTACAGGGTGCATACAGGCCAGCTGGAAACGGTTTTAGAAGGAGGCAATGTACCGGAGGAGGTACCTAGTACATCTCTGGTAGCGAGGCGACTCGCGAATTTGCAAACATTTGCAGGAACTAAACCGATGTCAATTCCGCTGATCGGGAACAGCAACTGCCGCGGTTGCAGACACTGGTCTGTGAAGCAGAGGAGAACATATCAAGAGAACACGGACAAGGACAAGAACATCACAGGACAAGAAAACGGGAATGAGAAGAAAATCAATCACAAGACATTCAGAACTGGCATAGCAAGTTAAGCAACCCATACTTGAGCCAATGCAGGAGAAGTGAAAACGCTCATAGACACCCCTTACACTTCACAACAAAACACCCCCCCCCCTCCCCCCCCCCCCCACACACACACAAATATTATCCCCCATTTTGGGTGCAACACACGAGTTCACCTGCACCATCGTGAATTCCGTCAGAACACAACGGACTACAGCTACTGCCGTGGACATGGAAATCCGGTCGAATAGACGGGGCCGGCGTCCTCAGTGCGTACAGAACGCTTCATGCACTAGTGGTGATGTTGATCGCATGCGTACTCCAGGCTCCAGGGCCGGCATGCTGGAGCCCCTTGACCTGCGACTAGATTCCCACGTCCAAGACAGTAGTTTACTCCAGTGGACAACGCTCAGGGAACACGATAAGATTTCGAAATTGCTCTGACACAATGTCCTGCCACTTCTGGAACCGGTCGGACATGGCCGGACACTGTGATTTTTTTGCAAGTCTGGTACTCATAATTATTGTCTTCACTAATTTCACACACGACACCACTGCATAATGCACACATAGTCACATACATGTACATGCTACATCACACTGCGGTATTGCTGGTCACATCAAGTATGACCATCACACAGGTCTCAAGTATTGCAGGGGCGTAGGAGGGGTTTTGGAAGTGGTACGACCGAAGGTCGGTGCGGCCGAAGGCCGTGTTGGAGGGGGGTCGGGGGGACCTCCCCCGGGAAAATTTTGTAAAAAAGACACAAAATCCTGCGTTCTGGGAACTTCTGGCGCAGTGTGCAGTCGAGTCGAGTACAGTAGTGACTACATTTTTGTAGTGTCAGTACTCAGTACGACTGCAGATGCATAACAGATCTACGAAGAGTCTAGAAAAAAGGTCAAAGTCTGATGCGCATATGCATCGATGGATCCTGATTTTTTTTTTATTACGGTTTTGCACGTTCCGGATGGACCACACTTTTCGAAAAGTGGTACGGCCATGGTCGTACCAGTCGTAGCGGGTGCTACGCCCCTGTATTGTAACACTGATTCAAATCGCTGTGCGTTTTGCAGCAAGCATAGTAACTGTGATATGAGCGTGCAGTGTTTCTGCACATTTTGGATTTGAGCTGGTTTTTCAGCGGCAGATCAAAGACATTTATTTTTACGCAGTCGACAAAAGACAAAGCGGGCACCTGCTTGCCCATTCTAATTTCTTGTTGCCTGCTCCAAGCTCCAACAACATGTCACTACTCGAGTTGGCTGAAGGCTGCCATCTTTGCAAACACGATGTGCTCTTTGAACAGCACGTAGTTTCTACGCGACGTTGAATTTCTGACTAACTGTCGCTGCTGCTTGCACAGCGCCTGTTCAACAAGAGCGTAATTGACTGGATTTGCAGAATACTGCTCCCTTCGATAGAGGCATACCGCAAGCTGGCACATTTCTGACGCCTTGTTTCCCTGGAGCACGGACGTTTTCAATATTTCGGATTGTACAAGCGCCTCGCGAAATAGTTCCTATTGTAGCGAGAAAGCGAAGAACATATTTCATTTCAAAACTCCTTCTTGATCGTTTGCTACGCTCAAACTGAAGCTACACTGAAGTGGACAGCTCCCTGTTATGCTGTAAAACCCTATTGTCACAGGTTGCTGCTCCGACTTCGTGAGACTTCTTCCCAGGCAGAGCGCCATTGTCTTCAGCCGTTCTCTTTCCCAACGACGCTATTTTTTGTGAATTTTTATTGGACAGATTGTCCGTTCAAGAAAAAAAGCGCCGGATTCGAATCGAAAATGGTCGGGAAATGTCCGATGTCCGACCGTTATCGTGTCCCCCGACGCTAGATACCGTATTTCCCCGAAAATAAGTCGCTCCTTTTTACACTAAACATCAAGGGCAAAGAAGGGGCCGGATGCGACTTACAATCGAGTCTGACATCCTACGTATATGCATGTATTGAAACAATGTGGCTCAAACCTCAAAGTGGGCGTGGGACATATAATCGAGTGCGCTTTACAATCCGGGAAATACGGTACCTGAGACAAGAGCTTGTACTGGGCATTGTTAACATACGTGGAAATCTCCACTGGATGTACATGATGGTATGGGACATATACGTGACACCCAAGGCCAGGCATGGTCCATCAGATCAGGATATAGGACTCCAGACCTAGGTGTAAGCACTTTCATGCAGTGTGAACGCCACACGGAGCAGATATCGTGTGAGGCTGCTCATAATTATGCTATTGCTTAATTGTTCGATGTGCCCAAGCAATGCGCCCCCCCCCCCACCTCCCCTCCACTCCCATTCATTACGCTGACACAGATATACGCAATAAAGGTCACTATATTCCAACGATGCAAGACATGCATACTGCATCACGAGACGATGTCACACGCCTTTGGCAAACCTTAGTTGTGATCAACTCTGACTCAGCAGTGCTAGTGATGCTTACACTCTGCTGCTATCACAGCTTATAACAAAAATAGGGGTTAGCAAGGAAGAAGGACAAGGAAGAGAGAGAGAGAGAGAGAGAGAGAGAGAGAGAGAGAGAGAGAGAGAGAGAGAGAGAGAGAGAGAGAGAGAGAGAGAGAGAGAGAGAGAGAGAGAGAGAGAGAGAGAGAGAGAGAGAGAGAGAGAGAGAGAGAGAGAGAGAGAGAGAGAGAGAGAGAGAGAGAGAGAGAGAGAGAGAGAGAGAGAGAGAGAGAGGGAGAGAGAGAAAGAGACATGGAGCAGTAGAGAAGCACACAAGAAGACAAACATCCAAAGAGAAATAATATGTCTCTTACCATGCTTTGCAACAATGGAAAACACGTGTCAACGCATATGACCAGCTCTCATTGACAACACAGGAATACAGCCTGCAGATGAGAACAATAATAGTAGGAGAAATAAGCAGAAGAAAAATCTTTGGAAACCGAACAAAACTATTGTTCTCCCCACCCTTTCTCTCTTCCCATGAAAATCGTTCCTTGACACACCATCACATGGAGCTGTGAGCACAATGACTCTTCCAAATGACAAGCAGGAAACACAATGAAGAGTCACACAAGAGTTATTTATTTATTTTATTTTATTCCAAGCAATACATGGCTGGGGTAGCCAATGACCACTTTGCGTGGCGACTGCAGGGTTTTATAGCTACACAAGTGTTACGCAGTTCTGTCTCCGGTACAGGGCGAGTACAAAGACTGGTGTACGGTGGCTTGTAGCATACTGAAGTATACCCGGAATTCCACGGTAACGTGTTTCCACCCCTCAAACTCTCTCGGCACTAGGATGCTCTCAGGATCGGCCACGGCATGTAAGTGCTGCTAAAGTGGTGCTTACATTATCAAATTACCATGGATACCCCTGGCACCGCACTCCTGATACCGTTATAAAAATAAAAAATAGCCCCGAACTAGAAACTTCCAGTATGGTACTCTCCGGAGTATAAGCCGCACTGGAGTATAAGCCACACTGGAGCATAAGCCACACTGGAGTATAAGCCACACTGGAGTATAAGCCACACTGGAGTATAAGCAACACTGGAGTATAAGCCACACACGGCTGTTTCGCGGCCACCACTTAACAATATGGCGGCCTTTGCCCAGGTTTACGGTGAAATTCAAAAATATTCTGAAAACTGAAAAAGATTTCAAGATCCTGTGGGATTCACGCGAAAACTGTGCTTTGTCAAGGTAACAAACACCGCGATCGGGACAAGGATTCAAACTTTCGAAGTCGCACAACAAAAGTGTTCAGCTTCGACAACAACAAACAAGGAAAAAAAGGAAGGAGAAGGTAGACAGCCATGCACAGCAGGTTTTTGCTGGACGACGTCTCTTCCTGTTGTCACTACAGAGCTCAAATAGGAGACAGCAGTACCGTTGTTATTTTCTTACCTGGATCAGGGCTGAAACGGCCAAGCTGCTGCGTCCAGGGCCTGAGGATCACTGCTCGAGCTCGGACGCCTTGCGTTTTCTTGATGCCGTGGCGGGACGAACAGCGTCATGTTGCGGCAATGTCCCGACGAGATGTTGCTGGCACATTGCTGTGAGGCGCTGCAAAGTCCCAGGAATGGCGTTATAATCGAAGCTCAGCCTGTTGAATCTGGCGTGAATTGACTCGCTGCCCTGCTCGGCGAGTAGACCCAGACCGACTCCAAATTTCCTGGTGAACGGGACTGTGTGCTCCTCCAAGAGATGTAGTTTCGGAGTTATGTTGCCGAGCTGCCGGATGATAATGGATTCTCTGCATTTCTGAAGAAACAGCTGGATGCAGTCAGCCAGCTTTGAGATGTCGGCCTCTGACATGCTGTTGCAATGGCTGAAACGGTGGCTGCAGTCGGCATATCCCAAAAACAATCCATGGTACCGCTGCTGCAAAATTTCTGCATCAGCAACGAGCTGAAAATCGCGAAAAAAAACAGCCGTGCACACTGGAGTATAAGCCCCATGCAGATATTTTTGTCAAGAAATACAGACATCTACCCTATTTTATTATTGTTAAAAATGTTGATCATCAATATACACGATGATAATCATGCACTCCTATCCCCCCCCCCCTATCACCCCCCCCCCCCCCCCCCCGCTTCACAATGATGTATACAGCATATGTTTGCACAATGCTTTGGAATGTAGTTCTTCGCTTGTTGTCCTCCTTGCTAGTTGTGAATAAACTCTGTCTGGCACCACACCCAACACCATACTCGCCAACCCAGCCGAAACAAATCCCTTAGTCACACACCCAGTTTCCCTTAACTTTCTCTCATTTCCCTTATTTTCCTGGTTTTTGCCAAATTGTGGCCATTTTTCTTTTTTTTGGGACAACTTTTGATTATCTTGCGTATGTTTCCGAATTTTTTTGGCAATGTTTTTCTTTCTTTTTATTCATTTCTAATCCATTGCTCATTGTGGGACCAAAACCAGAGTTTCTTTAAATTATTGTTAGATCGCCCCTACATGTGTGATTCTGTGAAATGCAGGGCCGCATGTGCCCTTGTCACACCACAAAACAACATTTTTATGAACACTCATGATTCAGTGCCAATACCGGTAGTTTTTCGATCAAAGTCAAAAAGCCGGTATGCCGGTAGTGACCGTAGTTTCCCGGTATAATACCGGGAAAACCGGTATGGTTGGCAAGTATGCAACAAATGGGAAATCTCCCCCCCCCCCCCCCACGCAATATGTGGTGCAATAAAGGCTGTTTCGCCCAACTTCGCTAGACACACCACATTACTAAAAAAAACTTGAGACTGGATAAAATTTATAATTGTGACAGAGCAGTGCTAGTAATGCCCACACTCTGCTGCTATCACAGCTCATAAGAAACGTAAGGAATAGGAAAGAAGAAGGTGGAGGAAGAAGAAGAGGAGGAGGAGGAGGAGGAGGAGGAGGAGGAGAGAGAGAGATAGAATGGAGGGGGGGCAGGGAAGCGAACATGCACATGCACGCACACACATACACACACACACACACACACACACACACACACACACAATGTTTCTTACCATGCTATGCAACAGTGGCAAACATGTCGCCCCTGCTGCTGAGGCCGCTGCTGCCACCGCCACCGCTACTACCACCGCTATCACCCGATGCAGCTGCAGCTGCTGATGCTGCCACTGCCACCACCGCTGCTACTGCCGCTGCTACTGCTGTTGTTGCCGCTGCTGCTGCCACCACCACTGCTGCTGCCACCACCGCTGCTGCTGCCACCACCGCTGCTACTGCTGCCGGTGCTACCGCCACTGCTGAAGCTGCCGCTCCCGATGCTACCGCTGCTGCCGCTGCTGCTGCCGCTGCTGCTGCTGCCGCTGCTGCTGATGCCGCTGATGCTGCCGCTGCTAATGCTGCCGCTGCTACTGCCGCTGATGGTGCCGATACTGATGCTGATAATGCCCCTGCTGTTGCTGCCGGTGCTACCGCCACTGCTGAAGCTGCCGCTCCCAATGCTACCGCCGCTGCTGCTGCTGCCGCTGCTACTGCCGGTGCTACCGCCACTGCTGAAGTTGCCGCTCCAGATGCTGCTGCTGCCGCTGCTGCTGCTCCCGCCACCGCCACTACCGGTACTACCGATGCTGCTACCGCTGCCGCCGCCACTACTGCTAATGATAATAATGTTGCTGCTGCTGCTCCTGCTTCTGCCGTTGCTACCGATGATGATGCTACTGCTGCCGCCGCCGCTAATGATAATAATGCTGTATCTGCTGATGCTGCTGATGCTAGGAATACCTGTGACTTCCATGTGCAATTCTGACGGGCCCGGTTGCTTTCGCTGCTGGCTGGAACTATGGCCGTCGCTGGCTGGGACTGCCATGGCTTCTGGCTAGGGTTTCTTTGGTTGCTACCTGGGGTTGCCATGGTTGCTACCTAGGGTTGTCATGGCTGCTATTGGGGTTTACTGCAGCTGCTGGCTGGGTTGATATGGTTTGTACAAGACTGTACACATGATATCGGATATAGCAAGTATCCTCCACCTTGGCTATGGGTATTCTTAGCATCTGACCCAGCCCGATAGTCGTGACTTGAAATACCGCAAAAAATAATTCAGGCGTGGTGGAGCCATGTACCCTCTCAAGATGTCCTGCACTGCACTGTATTTGGATACATCTGTATCCTCATAGACGCTCAATAGGAGCGTAATTAATGACTTGTGCTCACTGATGGCATGTAGCAACATGGACAGTTGTTCAGCTGCCAATGGATCAACTACAATGAGCGACACCTGAAGCTCGCGTAAGGCGTTCCATTTGGAGGACAAGTTACATGCTAGCGTAGGTAAGAAGTGGGATTGCAGAGGTTCTGAAAACCGCAGTTTGAGGAGGTGATGTGAATTGCCCAAAGCTTCATAGATAAGCTGCACATCATCACTTTTGAAGTGAGAGCAGTTAAGCAGCTCTAGTGACTGCAGGTGGGGAACATCCGCCAGTGCATCAGCCAGTAGTGAAGCAGGGCTGTGGCCGCCGTCTCTGCTCGTGGATACCGACCCAGTGCTGGTATCCTGTGCCAGCTGCGGACTGACTGGGTCCGAGGGCACGGTGCTAACACCAAGGTGACATCTACGCATAAAGACATTTCTCATGTTGTGCTTGGATGAAGTGATGATGGACGTGATCTTCTCCCACTGCCAAGCACATGTACAACTGCCAACTTCTAAATCAGCAATGGCGGTAAGCTGAGGCAGGCCATCAATCAATGAGCAGGGAGAATCCGGCTGGAAGTCTATATCCAAACGGTGCACACTGGATGGGTGCTGCGCAAGAGCCAAATTGTACGCACGTACAATAGCCGGATGACCACCGAAATCAATCTGGGCAAAGTTGCTCTCCAGTGCTGCAGCAATACTTGATATACAATAGTCACTGCTGTTTCCATGGTGACGGGCATATTCAGCATAACATAGCACAGAAAGATCTAAGCGAGACCGGTCAACAAAGGCAATCTTTTTGTGATAGTGAGGCAGTGCTGATGGCAAGTCAACGAGCGTAAACGCAGTTATAGTCGCTGCAAGGTCAGATTTCCCCATATAGTTGAGAGCAGTGGCAATTGAAGTACGAGTGGAATCTGGGCAAATCTCTACCCACGTGAGAAGCAATGTTTTCAGGAACTCTTCATTGCTAGCAAGCCGGCCATTCTTGCACCTCTTTTCCACCAGTCGTGAGCCGCTACCACCATCAAGGGCTTCAAAGAGCAGCTCTTCGGAGAGACGGCGGACGTCGTGGTCGTTCAAATCGCAACACAGTGCCTCCAGCATATCCAGGGGGAAAACTTGTGTAGCTGATGAATGGAGTAAGTCATCATCTTCGTTGTCGCTGTCAAGACGCGACTCGACATATTTCCGATTCGCCCAAGAATATGACGCGACATGTTCCCGTGTAAGCAATCCATTGATCAAGCACTCGGCTTTCTCCACATCCAGCTGGGCTGTCAACAGCATCCAAAAAGTTCTCAAATGTCCAGTTGTCGGACCGAGGGCCTTCACATCTTGCACAACTCTTCGTAACGAAGTTGCACGTCTGACGCCTACATAGCGAGCCGACAGGGATTCTTGCATTGTCAGGTGACTGAACATCCACAGTTTGCTGTCCTCCCTTGTTGTCGTGTCCGCTAGCACCAGCAACCCGAGTGCCTTGGCCTCTGTAGCGATAGAGTGCTGCACCAAGTCGGCGTCCGTGAAAATCAGCCGCTGTTTCTCCAGCATGGAAAATGCCACGGCTCCAAGATCCAGGACAAGGTCACGGACGGCGGAAGGGATCTCACTCCAGGAAGCATACACCTCACCGGTGTGTCGCTCGGCCACCTGGATGATCATCATGTCAAAGATATCCGTGATGCAGCGAGGCAGCGTGCCATTGCGGCAATGGAACAGTTTGCACGTCTGCATTGCCAGGAATGGCGTTGCCATCATGCTGCCCAGGTGTGGGTCATCGCGTACTGCCGCTACAAGGGCTGCTGCTTCCTCTGGTGCTTTCAGCACCTTCCCGATGTAATCCTCTACATCGTCTTGCCGGAAACCTACAAGCTCCACGCGCCTGTCGAACTGCTTTTTACTACTCAGGCTCAGCACGTCGACACAGGGACGGGATGTCACCACCAGGCGGATACCATCCAGCTGTTCGCCGTTGATTACACCACAAACAAAGCCACTGCACTCGCTAACACGTGTCTCGTCTAGGCCATCTAGCAGAACACATACACGATGCGGATTCTGGCGAACAAAGTCATCGATCACCCTACGCTCTTCACCAGAAAATTCTCCCAGCTCTTCCACACCAAACAGAGCACACACACTCTTCGCTTTCCTTACCTCCTTGTGACGTAGCTTTCTCGACAGCACAAGGTCAAACTGGTTCCACATCTCTTTCATTGCCCATTTGTACGGCGCCACTTTCGTAAACACGAACGTCTTTCCACAACCGGCACTCGCAACCACCAGTATGCGGTATGTCCGCCCACCGCTGCAGAATACCACCTCCTGCCGTTCTTCCAGATTGAACAGATTCTCCAGTGAGATGTTCTCCAAGCTTTCTGCAGCCCGAGTGAACACATGTTCAACACGCCACATGTCCTCGCTCGAATCAAACCTAGGATTCTCAAACTCCTGCCTCAGATCTGGTCTGGACAAAATAATCAGGTTCACATGCACGTCCGCTACTCCGGGTTCGGCAACACCGCTATCTACCATGCCTTCACCTAGATCGGCTGTTGCGCCACGATAGCGATGCACGAGCAAATCTTTCAGTCTGCGCACAGCTTCGGGCAAGCTCCCATCGGTCTCTGGATCCTGACAGTCGCCTGCTACATGGGCGCTGTCTGTCGTGGAGCCAGTATGGTCCCTGGACGCCATTGCTATTTCTGCTAGTAGAAGTGATACTGATAGAAAAACTCTTAGCTGAACTCCTCGGATCTAGCGCTACTTCCACCTCAGAATCCTTTGGCTTTACTCGTTGCTCTTGTTTTTTGTTTTTCACCCGAGTCATGCGCATACAAGCGTTCGTAAGTAGATGGTCAAGGATCTTGCACACAACACAACCAAAGATTGAGCATCCGGATATCGATCCGCTTTTTACGTGTTCATTTCCGGTAGCCTTGCACAAGCTACTCTGTACTTCAACTATTTTTCAAGTGACAAGTGCCATGTAGACCTACTTGTAATAGACCCTTTGCACAATAAGCGAGAGGGGTCGAGACGGGGCATGCTGTGCACGCGCTGCACACTTTGCATGCAACCAGCATGCGTGGTTTGCTGCAGGACGTGATCAAGTTTCCTGTGACAGGCTGTGTTTTCACGGTCCCGACGCGATGTTCATGTATGTACTCCGCAGCCTTTTTTCATTTGAAGTTAGTTTTTTTAGTTCTGAAGGAAGAAGTTCCGAAACGCTTTCCAAGGACCACTGTTGGGTTCTTGTTTGCAGCAACCGTCATCCCTAACGTTAGTCTAAGGAACCCACTTGTCTTTCCATGCGTTCCCTGGTGATGCTGGTATTCCACACTCTAGAATCCTGGCTATCTGGCGAGAAGAGGGCCGCAGTGCTGCGATATCGTTCCCAGTGTTGTGCTCGGAACACTTTATCCATGACGACTTTCACCCGACCTTGCTTTTGCGAAGATATGGAACGCCCTGCCAAGAGACTCTGGAGCTTGAGAAAAAGGCATGACCCATCCCTGTCTTCGCTATTGGAAGATCGACGGCTTGCTGGCGCTGCTCGAGCTGTTGATGTTGAAGTGGAGAGAGACGCAGCCTCATCGTTCAGGTGTGCGGAGAAAGTCATCTGAGTTCGAGCTGTGGCTGTGTGCACGATATGACAGACTTTCACATTATGCACATAGCCACCAAAGTAAAACTCATGGACACTATCCACGGGCCTGTTCACTTGTACTACTCCATCAGCTCCCTCTTCACTGTCGTCGGCGACTTGCCCCTGCGTTGGAGACAAGCAAGCATTCTGTGGCACTCACTCTGGGAAACAGAGGTTCATCACTCATCCACTGGGACGCATGAAATGTTGGGCATGATGAGGGTACACTCGAGGAAGTGGTGCCCTTCTTAGTTCTAGGTGCATCAGGGTTCTGCATAGAGAAGTATTCTCTACATCGACAGGGGAGAGAAGGGAGAGAAAAGAAAAATAAATTTCAATCTACAGTAATCCGAAATATCCACTGAATGCGAAAAACTTACCTCTCCAACAACTCCTTCTTTTTCCAGACAGATACGCACTCTCATTCAGCAGAAAACTGTTCAGTTCCTTCACAGACCATTCTTCATTTGACAGTTCGTCCACGGGTTCCACAGCCATTGATGGCAAACCACTCGACACTCTCTCCTCCATCTCCAAAATGGAAAAATACAGTGTTCAACAACTCAACAACTGATACTCAGCACAAAAATCGAAGAGGATGCCCCGTCTCGGATCACGTGACCGTTATTGTGCAAAGGGTCTATTGTACAGACAGTTGTATGATTGTAGAAGTGCCATGTACAGGTCCTCCCTCATTAGGGGCCGTCCGTAAAGATCGATGTTTTTTTAGAGACGATATTGGTGCGTCTGGGGGGGAGGGGGTTTGAGCCATGTGCGTCTTTTCGAGCATCAGAAAAATATCGATGTAAATATCTGAAGTTTCGCCGATCCCTGCACGCGGACGTCTAAATGGCTATACAAGAAATGTGAAACCAGCTTCCGTTCGCGGAGCTAAAACTCGCGACACAAGAACAAAATCAAAAAGTGGAAGCTGTACGCCCATGGCGAATTTCAAGAGCAAAAGAATGAGCTATTGATTGTGGAAATCGGCCGAACGATGCCTGCGGGAGACCTTTTTCAAGACGTAGAGGCAGTGCGAACAAACACGGACGAACTCCACAAGAGTTTCCAGTCTTCACTGTCTGAACAAGGATTCGAAAAAATTCAAGCCCGAGCGTAGCCGCTTTGGCTACACCAGTACACGATGGCTGAGCACTGCAGCGCCAACCCGGTTCGCTCCCCCCAGGCGATGCAGCTATTGCGTGAGTGCGGCGGGATTTTCACGCCTACACCGGACCCTCAAAATCCTGGGCACTTCATGAGCATCCAAAAATATTGATTCCATGATCTAGATGTACATGTGCGTCTTCTGGGGGGAGGGAGGGGGGTCAAGGGAGAGAAGCACCAATATCGTCTCTAAAAAAACATCGATATTTACGGACGGCCCCTTATAACAAATCCGGTAAGTACATAAACCCCGTTAGTAAATAGAAATTTGAAATCCCCTGGCGAAACGTGATCTATACAACTGGTTACAGGTCCGGTTACAACATAATCCGTTAGTACATAAAATTCGTTATAACGACCCTTTTCCCAGGTCCCTGGAGTGCCAAACCCTCAATATAACTATAAGAAGCTGACCATGCAGGACCAAGGCCAAAACACGTCGGATAAAACAGAAAGACGAAACGCAATAATCTATGTATTCGTGAATATGGACGATCCTTTGCATCCATGGAAGAGTTATGTTGGAGATTTTCAATTACCTTATAACGAGTTGAAGCATCGATAATTTATGTTGTATCGAGGGTATCCCCGGTAAGTACGAAGTAGTGCCTATTTCACCTTTAGCTGCAAGTCCTGCTACAAGATAAGTCTCGTTATAAGATAATTTTTCGATGGCCCCGAGATTATCTACTAACGAGGGAGGACCTGTACTTGTACAGTTGTATGACTTGTCTGTAGTGCTAGTGGCGCGCGCGCCTGGCAATAATCATAAAAATCAGATGAGGAGACATAATGCCCTGATACTGTACTGCACTGATGCACATACATGACATGCCCATTATTATTATTACATTTTATCACTCCCTTAGTATTGACTCACATAGATTTTTGCCATACCTAAGCAGTCAAATATTCCTGCATATTTCACTCCTTAGGGCTATATTGACTGCTTATATTTGACTGCTTAGGGTTGCGCAGATGAACGGTGCCCAGTGCAGCATTGTCACTGCATGAGTAGGGGGTGGTGCAACGGTTGTGCAATCATGAAACCGGGATTCATGAGGTTATCGTTTTGGAATTTGAAATACGGACTGTTTGTCGTGATAAATCTAATATTGACTTCGTACTTGGTCAGTATAGGAAATAAAAACCTCGTAAAAGACCTCGGCTTCGCCTCGGTCTTTTACTCGGCTTTTATTTCCTATACTGACCTCGTACTCAGTCAATATTAGATACGTAATAATAAAAATGGGCCACGCAATATGCGTAGTCAAGTCCATGCATACAGGTGGTAGCAGACTAATCATCTATCCCCGGGGGAAATGGCGGTGAATAGTATTGATATCCGGCAAGTTTGCAGTTGATATGAGGCAATTGTCAGTGAGTATGTAGTGAAATTAATCAGTTACAAGTTTCTGGTGTAAGCAGTGCACTGGTTATACGTGTAGTGCAACAAAAAAGTTCACAAAACGCGGGAAAATCGCGGAAAACACGATCTTTTAAAAAATCGCAAACATCCCGGGGGAAAAATATGCGCCCGCGGAATCGCGATTTTCCCCGGGGACACAATCATTGTTGAGCTATGCCAGGCATAGCAACTGGTTGTGGAATCATACAGCACCGTTCCATACCTCACAAGCCCGGTGACCACCAGGGTCGCATTATGACTATGACACAGACAGCACAGACAGACACATGCATGCATGCACAACAACACATACCACCAACACAAGCACAAGCAGTCAGGTAGCCAACATATCACTTAGAGACAGGAACACTGAAGAAGAGCAGCGTACTCTGTATCTAACGACATTGACATAACCCACAGAGAATTGTCACGTTGAAAAACAATCATAATTGTTCAGATTTAACTGGCGTAAAAAATGAGGGGTCCAACACCGAGCGGACCATCCACGAACATCATCATGTAAGCTCTGAAGAGAGAACAGATCTGCAGAAGAACATTTTTTTATCTAAGAGTGAAGGAGAAAATGATTATGCCCGATGTGTCAAAAGGACACAAGACTGAAAAAGCTCAACATACCGAAGTCCGGTTGAACGCATGGAAAAAGTATCACCCTGGAAGAAGGAGGCAATACGAACAATTGTAATCCAAACACATTTCTAGGACTAGTCCGACAATTTTACTCAACATTCCTGATAGGATATTGTCACGTTGTCAGATTATGTGTTATGTTGAGAGTCCAAGAAGTCGAAAGAATACAACTCCATCAGAAATTCTACCAGCCCTCCAGGAAATTAATAAGCAAGGAAAATCTACCTTAGACAATACAAGTACATGCAGTTGTACAGGTAATTCCAAAAGAATGCAACTCAATCAAGAATTCTTCAAGTACTGTTATCAAGCAAATTGTCTTGAGGTGGAATCTACAAAAAATATTGGGGCGGGTGAGTAGCTACCCAGGCCAACGGAACAAGAGGTGAGTTTGTGAGGGTAAGTACAGGGTCCATACAGGCCAGTTGGAAACGGTTTTAGAAAGAGGCAACGTACAGGAGGAGGTACCTAACAACTATTCTTGCGAGGCAGCTGGCGAATTCGCAACCATCTGCAGGAACACGACTGATGTCAATTCCGCTGATCGGGAACAGCAACTGCCACGGTTGCAGACACTGGTCTGTGAAGCAGTTGAGAACATATCAAGAGAATACGGACAAGAACAAGAACATCACATGATAAGAAAACGGGAATGAGAAGAAATTCAATCACAAGACATCCAGAACTGGCATAGTAACCCATACTTGAGCCAATCGAGGAGAACTGAAAACGCTCGTTGACACCCCTTGACAACAAAACAGACACACACACACACGCAAATATCATCCCCCATTTTGGTTGCAACACACGAGTTCACCCTGCACCATCTTGAATTCCGTCAGAACACGACGAACAACAGGTACTGTCGTGGACATGGAAATCCGGTCGAATAGACGGGGCCGGCGTCCTCAGTGCGTACAGAACGCTACGTGTACTAGTGCAGATGTAATTGTTGATCGCATGCGTACTCACGGCTGCAGGGCCGTTGCGCTGGGTCCGCTTGACCTGCGAGTGGATTTCCATGTCCAAGACAGTACTTTGCTCCAGTGGGCAACACTAGATAAGACAAGAGCTTGTGCTGGGCATTATTGACATACGTGGAAATCTCCACCAGATTTTCATGATGGTATGGTATGGGATATATGCTTGACACCCAAGGCCAGGCATTGTCCATCAGATCATGATACAGGACTCCAGACCTAGGTGTAAGTACATTCATGCAGTGTGAACGCCACACGGGGCAGATATCAAGTGAGGCTGCTCATGTGTTATCGCCTGGTCGCCGGATGTGCCCAAACAACGCCCCCCCCCCCTCCCCCGATCCCGCTCTTCAGGTATACACAGATAAAGAGCACGGGACCCAAACTTTGCTATACAAAGTGCACCACCAGGCCATGTTGGACCACGCATCCCTCCCGATGCCATACACTTTTGGCAAACCTTGGGTGTGACAGAGAGACAGGGAGAGAAAGAGAGAGAAAAAGAGAGAGACAGATAGACAGACATTCAGAGAAAAAGAGAAAGAGGGATGCACACAAGCAGGCAAACATACATGTACGCATATTTCTCTCACCATGCTATGCAACAATGGCAATCACGCGTGAAAGCATATGACCAGCACTGACTGACAACACAGGAACACAGCCTGCAGATGAGAACAATAACAGTAGCAGAAACAAGTAGAAAAAACATCTTTGGAAACCGAACAAAAAAATAATACTGTTTTCCCACCCTTCCTCACTTGCCTTGAAAATCGTTCACTGACAAACCATCACATGGGGCTGTGAGCACAATGACTCTTCCCCAGAGTTACACAAGAGTTATTTATTCCCGCAAAAGACGTTACTTTAGTAACGTCTGGCGCTAGCCAGGGCCCGCTCAGCTTTAATTCCGTGTTTGTTTGTGCCAACGGCATGCCTGGCGCTATCCCGTACCTGTTCCGTACCGTACCATCAAAGACAGCTGGCCACAATATTCAAATAGGGCTTTCTATTTAAAAATTTATAACATCCCTATATTTTTTTCCTAGGTCATCAAGGTGGTAGACGGTGTCGTATTACCCTCAAATGCAAAGCTATCCTGTACCTGTCCCGTACCGTACTGTACCATCAAAGACAGCTCGCCACAATATTCAAATAGGGCTTTCAAGTGCAAGATCATAACGTGAAGCAACTTGGAAGAATGAATATGTATGCGAAGTGTATCGGGGGAATGCATGCAGGGCGATAGTGCGGGTTCGAATCCCAGGTTATGTCTTGGAAAAAAGGAGAAACGAAAAATTTATAACGTCCCTATGCCTTTTTGCCTAGGTCATCAAGGTGGTAGACGGTGTCGTATTACCCTCAAATGCAAAGAGTAAAAACATTAATCTACATGTACGTGGAGATAATAATTTTAATATAGCTTATTATTATTATTATTCTCGTATCCGTCCCGAATGGGACTCACGACGGCAGAATTAACCGTGAGCATGTGTGTGTGAGAGTGGGAGAACGAAATGAAAAAGAAAAGAAGTCTTGTAATAAGGTCAAATTTAAGAAGAGCAGTACTAGACTAAATGGCTGAGCAGATGTTACTCCATTGTTTTCTGTCGCGGGCATAGGTGCCGAGATCACGAAGGCAGCTGGGCTTAAAAATGCAGATAGGTGTGAGGCGGACGTCTCGCTGGAGACTTGTGGTGAGGCAAGAGCGGGGTGCACCTATTCGAAAGGGCTGACTGGTAGCATATGTACAGAAAGCAGTGAGAGCAACATTCGCAGGGATGTCACTTGGCTGGCGTAATATATGTCCTAATAGCTTCCACCTGTCCCGCTTGGCCATTTCAGATACAGAGCACTGGCCAGTAACAGCATATAGATCTGCATTCGAGATGACATCTGGGTAGGTAATTCCAAGGGTACACCGCAGCTGTTTCCTATGAAACACATCTAGGCGCTTTTCTTGTGCACGGGACAGGCCATGGCAAGCAAGGTTGTAGGTCAAGATTGGTAGAACGAAAGTGTTGTATAAACGAATTTTGATGGGTGTAGAAAGCAGGTTGTGTTTGAACCATAACTTCAGAGTGTCTCCAAATGCTCTTGCGGCCAAGCCAATACGGCGCGTTACGTCCTCCCCGGAGCCGTATAGCGAGCCGAGTGTCTTCACCTGTCGCCAAGCTTCTTTACCACGAGTTGTGCCGACCTTTCTAGATGTTGTAGAGGTGGCATCTCCCAAAGTGGGTTCCAGGTAAATACGGATCCACTCAGTCTTACTGGTATTGACGGTAAGACCCCATTCGGAGAAGACGCCTGCGATGACGGGTAGGGCGCTGGTAAGGAATGATTTTGATGTGGAGATGAAGTCTACGTCATCGGCGTAAGCTGTTTCTTCAGGTAGAATGTTGTCTGCTGATGGTCGGGCTGGCAGTCGGTCACGTACCATTCGTAGGGCTGCTTCCAAATAAACCGTGAACAGTACCGGTGACAAACCATCGCCCTGGGGGACCCCCCGAGCTGTCTCAAAAGGTGCGGACTGTGCTTCGTTCACGCGAACTGTCAGCGCCGTGCCAGATAGCAGGTACCTAACCAGTCGTAAACCGTCCGCGTCTCCAATTTTCTCTTGCTCCATGACATCAAGCAGCTTTGTGCGGTTTATTGTGTCAAAAGCCTTGCTCAGGTCCAGCCCTAGCACGTAGATGGTAGTGTTGAAGCGTTCAACAATTGATGCCAGGATCCGTTTGCAAAACACAATGTCTGCGGTTGATCTGTTTTGACGGAACCCGGCTTGCGATGGAGATATATATCGCTCTACGTCAGCTCTGATCCGGCTAAGTGTGATGAGGGACAAGATTTTTCTGGCGGTAGTCAGCAATGTTATCGGACGCAAATTGTTCATGGGGCCTTTGGGTTTACCTGGCTTATGCAGAGCGATTAGTACACCATCTCCAAGGGACGCTTGGCTGTGCTGAGTGAATACATCGTTGAAAATGCTGCTCAGGCATTCTGCAAGTGCAGGGCCTCCGTATTTGACCAGCTCGGCCGGTATGTCATCAGGCCCGCAGGAGCGTTGGTTCTTTAGACGACTCATTGCGCTCGCTACCTCTGCTGTGGAAATCGGTTTATCGAGGGGTTTCGGTGTTCCTGTGAATGGCGTAACCGCTGGCTCTGCAGCAGTAGGAGAGAATTTCCCAGTGTAATGCTCAGCTATTCTATCCGCTTGCTCTCCTGGCCCAAGGACAGCCTTGCCGTTGTTGTCTACAATGGTTAAATCTCGTGGGCACTTTGGTTTCAGCAGTTTTATCGCTGCAAACATCATTGGCCCGTTCTTGAGTGACTCCACTTCTCTGATGCGGCTCTCAAGATGCTGTAACGCCAGCTGTCGAGACAGGATTCGGATTTCCTTCTGCACTCTGTTACGCTGCACTCACAGCTCATTTCTTCTACTCATGTTTGGTGTGCTATTAAGATCCATACGCGCTATGAATAGGATAAAGGCCGCAGACATCACGCAACTACGTTACTTGTTTGACATGTATTACTGAGTATTTTCTAACACTTGTATCTTGATGTTATTTCTAACACCTTTCTATTTACAGTACTTAACTTCAGTTTCTTTGGTTGTATCCTTAGTTCCGTATTTTTTCCCACTGATGATAGGAACAAGAAAATCGATTCTGGGTTTTCAATAATATTTTTGTTATAAAATACACAGTAATACATGTCAAACAAGTAACGTAGTTGCGTGATGTTTGCGGCCTTCATCCTATTCATAGCTATAGAAAAAAACATTTCCATCAGTTCTAATAACATGCATGATGAGCTAGTCAAAAAGGCACAGCATAGGGCCCTGAGCTTCCAAGCTCTCTCGCTTATTTATTTCATCCCAAGCAATCCATGGCTGGGATAGCCAATGACCACTTTGCGTGGCGATTGCAGGAGTTTGTATTGTTGCACAAGTGTTACACGGTTCTGTCTCCGGTACAGCGTGTGTACAAAGATTAGTGTACGATGGCTTGTAGCATGCTGAAGTATACGCGGAATGCCACGTTACCGTGTTTCCACCGCCGGGCTCTCTCGCCACCAGAATGCCCTTGGTACCGACCACGGCACACGACACACTAGTGGAGCTCGGGGGGGGGGGGGGGGTCACATGATCAAATTACCATGGGTAACCTCGGCACCGCACTCCCGATACCGCCGTGGCGTATACGCCACACTGCACTGGAGTATGACCCCTATCCAGATATACAGACATCTACACTATTTCATACAACACTCATCAGGAATCGTCGTTGTACTAAAGGACACTGAAACAAAATTGAACTATAATAGGAACCTACACTATTTATTATTGTTAATTTGATCATCGTAGTGACTGTTGTCAGGTGAATTACTGGTGCTTAAAGGGTCGGCTTTAACTCTGGAAAATACGTCAATTCAGAACATACAGTCATCAGTGCTGCATGAAAGTGAACGCCTATCAATAGTTTTCTTTTATTTTATTTTAGCCGTTTTCAGTTGATAAGGATATCCTAGTGACTCTAGATGGGTCAGAAAGGTGCCCGGTGGACGGGCATGATGGCATTAGAGACGTCCAGACGAGGGTAGTTTTACTCTACCAATGTACACTTTGTTAAGTATGCACTGCTACCCCCCCCCCCCCCATCCCGCTTCCTAACACATGCGGACATACGAGTCCCCCCCCCCCCCCCCCACACACACACACGCAATAAGCGGTGCAATATCTCTTATTGGCGATGGTGCCATCGTGAGAATAAAGAATTCAAAATGAAGGGGTTTTTGCCCAACTTAACTAGACACACCACATAACTAGGTGAAGTCACAACTGTTGAGAATGATCAATTGTGACAGAGCAGTGCTAGTAATGTCCACACTCTGCTGCTATGAGGAAGAGAGAAAGAGAGAGAGAGAAAGAGAGAGAGAGAGAGAGAGAGAGAGAGAGAGAGATTGAAGGGGGGAGCAGGGGAAGAGAAGGGGGGGGGGGGTAAGCAAACACACATATGCGTACACACACACACACACACACACACACACACACACCAACACATTTTTTCCTTACCATGCTATGCAACAGTGCATGGCAAACATGTCGCTCCTGCTGCTGAGGCCACTGCTGCAACTACCAGCGCTGCTACCACCGCTGCTGATGCCTTTGCTACTGCCGGTGCTACTGCCGTTGCCATTGCTCCTGATGCTGCCATTGCTCCTGTTGCTGCCGTTGCTCCTGTTGCTGTCATTGCTCCTGTTGCTACCATTGCTTCTGTTGCTACGGTTGCTCTTGATGCTGGCGTTGCTCCTGATGCTGTCGTTGCCCCTGTTGCTGCCCTTGCTCCTGTTGCTACCATTGCTCCTGTTGCTGCTGTTGCTCCTGTTGCTGCAGTTGCTCCTGGTGCTACTGTTACTCCTGATGCTGCCGTTGCTCCTGTTGCTACCATTGCTCCTGATGCTGCGGTTGCTCATTATGCTGCCGTTGCTTCTGTTGCTGCCATTGCTCCTGTTGCTGCCGTTGCTCCTTAAGCTGCCATTGCTCCTGATGCTGCCGTTGCTCCTGTTGCTTCCATTGCTCCTATTGCTGCGATTGCTCCTGTTGCTGCCGTTGCTCCTGATGCTGCTGTTGCTCCTGTTGCTGCTTTTGCTCCTGCTGCTTCCGTTGCTCCTGTTGCTGTGGTTGCTCCTGCTGCTGCCATTGCTCCTGAGGCTGTCCTTGCTCCTGCCGTTGCTCCTGTTGCTCCTGCTGCTGGCGTTGCTCCTGTTGCTGCCGTTGCTCCTGTTGCTGCCGTTGCTCCTGCTGCTGCCGTTGCTCCTGATGCTGCCATTGCTCCTGTTGCTGCCATTACTCCTGTTGCTGCCCTTGCTCATGTTGCTGCAGTTGCTCCTGTTGCTACCCCTGCTTCTGTTGCTGCCGTTGCTCCTGATGCTGTCATTGCTCCTGTTGCTGCCCTTGTTCCTCTTGCTCCTGTTGCTACCATTGCTCCTGCCCTTGTCGTTGCTCCTGTTGCTGCTGCTGCCGCCGCCACCGTTTCTGCTAATGATAATAATGCTGTATCTGCTGCTGCTGCTGATGCTAGGAGTACCTGTGACTTCTGTGTACAGTTCTGACGGACCCGGTTGCTTTCGCTGCTGGCTGGAACTATGGCCGTCGCTGGCTGGGACTGCCATGGCTTTTGGCTAGAGTTTTTTGGTTGCTACCTGGGGTTGCCATGGCTGCCATTGGGGTTGCTGCAGCTGCTGGCTTGGTTGCTATGTTTTCTGGCTGTGGTTGCTATTGCTGTTGGCTACGGTTGCTATGGCTACGGCTGGGGTTGCTATGGTTGCTGACCGGGGTTGCTATGACTGCTGGCTGGAGCTGCTATGGCTACTCGGTGGGACTGCCTCTGCTAACTGTCGTTGCTGAAGCTGTTGCGGTTCTGGTTCATGTCGTTACGGTTACTCCTGCGGTCACAATGGTTCCTTCTGAAGAAGTTCTTCAGTCCACTTCTTGTGCTGCTCAACTCCACCTTCTGTAGCTGTTCTACTTGATGCACTCGTCGCCTACGAAAGGCTTGATGAGGAGTATGCTTGCACAGTTTACGGTGCTGGTATGGCTGGAAATGGTGATGATGGTGTTGCTATTGTAGTTGAATGGCTTCCGAGGCGATGATGCTACTCGAGTTCCTGCGAAAACCTCTATCACTGTTGACGGACGCGACTGTACACATGATTGCGGATTTAGCAAGTATCCCACACCTTGGCTCTGGGTATTTTTAGCATCTGACCCAGCCCGAGGGTCCTGATTTGAAATACCGCAAAAGGTAATTCCGATGTGGTGGAGCCGGGTTGTCTCTCAATATGTCCTGCACTACACTGTATTCGGATACATCTATATCCTCATAGACGCTCAATCGGAGCGTAATTAATGACTTGTGCTCACTGACAACATGTAGCAACATGGACAGTTGTTCAGCCGCCAATGGATCAACTACACTGAGCGTCACCTGAAGCTCTTGTAAGGCGTTCCATTTGGAGGACAAGTTACATGTTAGCGTAGGTAAGTAGTGGGATTGCAGATTTGCTGAAATCCGCAGTTCGATGAGGTGATGCGAATTGGCCAATACGTCAAAGATACGCTGCACATCATCATTATCAAAGCCAGAACATTCATCTAGGACAAATATCTGCAGGCGAGGAACATCCGCGAGTGTATCAGCCAGTAGTGAGGCAGGGATGTGTCCGCCATCTCTGCTCGTTGATACCGACCCAGTGCTGGTATCCTGTGCCAGCTGCGGACTGGCTGGGTCCGAGGGCACGGTGGTAACACCAAGGTGACATCTACGCATAAAGATATGTTTCATGCTGTGCTTGGATGAAGTAATGATGGACGTGATCTTCTCCCACTGCCACGCACATGTACAACTGCTCACTTGTAATTCAGCAACAGCGGTAAGCTGAGGCAGGCCATCAATCAATGAGCAGGGAGAATTCGGCTGGAAGTCAACATCAAAACGGTGCACACTGGATGGGTGCTGCGCAAGAGCCAGATTGTACGCACGTACAATAGCCGGATGATCACCGAAATCAATCTGGGCCCAGTTGCTCGCCAGTGCTGCAGCAATACTTGATGTACAATAGTCACTGCTGTTTCCATGGTGACGGGCATATTCAGCATAACATAGCACAGAAAGATCTAAGCGAGACCGGTCAACAAAGGCAATCTTTTTGTGATAGTGAGGCAGTGCTGATGGCAAGTCAACGAGCGTAGATGCAGTTAGAGTTGCTGCAAGATCAGATTTCCCCATACAGTTGAGAGCACTGGCAACTGACGTACGAGTGGCATCTGGGCAAATCTCTACCCACGTGAGAAGCAATGTTTTCAGGAACTCTTCATTGCTAGCAAGCCGGCCATTCTTGCACCTCTTTTCCACCAGTCGTGAGCCGCTACCACCGTCAAGGGCTTCAAAGAGCAGCTCTTCGGAGAGACGGCGAACGTCGTGGTCGTTCAAATCGCAACACAGTGGCTCCAACATATCCAAGGGGAAACCTTGTATAGCTGATGAATGGAGTAAGTCATCATCTTCGTTGTCGCTGTCCTCCAACGCATGACGTGACTCAACCTGTTTCCGAGTAAGTAGTCCATTGAGTAAGCAGTCGGCTTTCTCCGCATCCAGCTGGGCTGTCAACAGCATCCAAAAAGTGCGCAAATGCTCAGTTTCTGGACCTAGAGACTCCACGAGATGCACAACGCTTCCTATCGAAGTTGCTCTTCTTACGCCTAAATAGCAAGCCGCGAGGGATTCTTGCATTGTCAGGTGACTGAACATCCACAGTTTGCTGTCGTCCCTGGTTGTCGTGTCGGCTAGCACCAGCAACCCCAGAGCCTTGGCCTCTGTAGCGATAGAGTGCTTGGCCAAATCGGCATCCGTGAATATCAGCCGCTGTCTCTCCAGCATGAAAAATGCCACGGCTCCAAGATCCAGGAAAAGGTCACGGACGACGGAAGGGATTTCACTCCAGGAAGCGTACACCTCACCCGTGTGTCGCTCGGCCACCTGGATGATCATCATGTCAAAGATATCCGTGATGCAGCGAGGCAGCGTGCCATTGCGGCAGTGGAACAGTTTGCACGTCTGCATGGCCAGGAATGGCGTTGCCATCATGCTGCCAAGGTGTGGGTCAGCGCGTACTGCCGCTACAAGGGCTGCTGCTTCATCTGGTGCTTTCAGCACCTTCCCGATGTAATCCTCTACATCGTCTTGCCGAAAACCTACAAGCTCCACGCGCCTGTCGAACTGCTTTTTACTACTCAAGCTCAGCACGTCGACACAAGGACGGGATGTCACCACCAGACGGATACCCTCCAGCTGTTCGCCGTTTAATACACCACAAACAAAGCCACTGGACTCGCTAATACGTGTCTCGTCTAGGCCATCTAGCAGAACACATACACGATGCGGATTCTGGCGGACAAAGTCATCGATGACCCTACGCTCTTCACCAGAAAATTCTCCCAGCTCTTCCACACCAAACAGAGCACACACACTCTTCGCTTTCCTTACCTCCTTGTGTCGTAGCTTTCTCGTCAGCACAAGGTCGAACTGGTTCCACAACTCCTTCATTGCCCATTTGTATGGCGCAACTTTCGTAAACACGAACGTCTTTCCACAACCGGCGCTCGCAACCACCAGCATGCGGTATGTCCGTCCACCGCTGCAGAATACCACCTCCTGACGTTCTTCCAGATTGAACAGATCCTCCAGTGAGATGTTCTCCAAGCTTTCTGCAGCCCGACTGAACACATGTTCAACACGCCACATGTCCTCGCTCGAATCCAACCTAGGATTCTCAAACTCCTGCCTCAGATCTGGCCTAGACAACATAATCAGGTTCACATGCACGTCCGCTACTCCGGGTTCGGCAACACCGCTATCTACCATGCCTTCACCTAGATCGGCTGTTGCGCCACGATAGCGACGCACCAGCAAATCTTTCAGTCTGCGCACAGCTTCGGGCAAGCTCTCATCGGTCTGTGGATGCGGACCTCTGCCTCCTACACGGGCGGTGTCTGTCGTGGAGCCAGTATTTTCCCTGGACGCCATTGCTATTTCTGCTAGTAGAAGTGATAGAAGAACTCTTAGCTGAACTCTTCGGATCTAGCGTTACTTTCACCTCAGAATCCTTTGACTTTACTCGTTGATCCTGCTTTTGTTTCTCACCCGAGTTCGTAAGCAGCTGCGTAGATTGCCAATGCCTTGCGGCAAGTTGCGCACAACACACCGGTAATCCGGTACCCAAAGATTGAGCATCCGCTGCGTAGATCTATGCGCAAGCCTTGTTCAAATGCAGTTGCACAGACTACACACAGTAGGCATTTCCCAAATCTGCCCGATTTTATCGCCTAATTGGCTTTTCGATCGGAATTCGCCGAAAATCGATGTTTTAGTTCTCCAAAAGGGTGCATGTAAATGTACATAATATACGTGGAGATAATAGTGAGGTTTTGCATTCCGAATTTCGGCAAAAAGATTCGGTACGCGTGAGCGAGGTCGAAAATGCACACGAAGATTCGGCGTGTTTGTTCGGAAAAAGCTCACTTTGCCGAAAATATTTTTCGGATGCATCTTCTTGTAGAAGAGCGCTAGCGCGTGATTTATTCCAAGAGGTTTCTTATCTCGGCATCGTTTGGCAGGCGTCTTTGGCGACATAGCATCGTCAGCTACCTCTGATTGCTCCTCGCCACTGCCTGTCGACTCTCTTTCGCCTCGAGTGTCCTCACCGTCATCTGTGTGGCTGAAAAGACTATGGCGACACGCATAAAATTTGACTTGGCCATGGAGTTGGTTTTTCTGAGGCGACTGAGGAGGCAGGTTTGACCCTCGACACTGTGGGCGATCAAAGTTCGTCGGAAACAGCAAAAAAAGGAGCACGGGACAGGACGTTGCTGATGCTGGGGCTCACGAAATGAAAACACATCATTTTCGACTTGCAAAACAAACGTTGGTGCGAAAATTCGACATTTTGATGTTCGACAAATGACCGAAGAACGCTGTACCGAAATTCGGAATGCAAAACCTCACTAACAATTTTAATATAGCTAATACTAGGATGAAGGCCGCAGACATCACGATCCCGAAAAGATTGTCTGGGTTCGAAAGGGGGCATGTCACCTGAGAGTACACTGTACAACACATACTTGGCACTACCCGATCAGCATGCAGCACAGGATGTGTTTGATAGTTTGCGTGTGAATGCGGGGGTAAGTACACGGTTTTCTCGTTAGTTGCATGCAAGAGAGACGATCCGACAGAAAGCAAATCTTTGTGTGGGTTTCTCCCTCGCACTGATAATGTTCTGCTGTTGGAGTAGAAGTGCTAAGCCATAATCCTTGTTTCGCTCCTCTGTGTAGTGTGAAGAGGTCAACGAACATGTAGAGCTCACTTTGATGAAGTAGGCAAGGCTGTAAGCGCTGTGGCTGAAAGCGATAGGCCCTAAATCTTACGAGATATTTCGAGCGCCATTGTTTGTTGCGAGCGCCTCGTCTTCGATGAGTCTTGCCTCTTTTTGTCAGGTTTCCTCCAACAGGACCAAGCACGAAGTGACTGTACTCATCTGCAGCCGATCAATGTTCTACTGCGCAAGAAGATTGCGTTTTCGCCAAGCCAGAGCCCCGCCAAAGACCATCGCCATGTCACACCGTCCGAACGAGTTCATGATGAGAATCATCATTCGCGCGAGCTTGATGAAGAACTATTTCGAAAGACAACATAGTCTCTACCCCCGGGACGACAACTTTGCGCCGGTCCTGGAAGGGGAGAATGTCTCCAGCGATAAGAACGAAGACGACGGCGGTATTTCGGCAACCTGGAGTCAGCGGAGTTCGTCAAGCTCTTCCGCCTCCGCGATCCGGTACATGTGCAGTAGGTGACATGTCGACACGAGCGCGTGGGAACACAGCATACACTGTAGTACTGTTGCGAGAGTTTGCGGAAGGAGTCCAAATCGGGAAATCCATCAGCTCCAAAAGCTACCTGTAGGTGGGCGTTGAGACTCCAGCTTCAGACTACAACAGTCAGGACTTGTAAATAGTTGAACTTTGTGAAGCAGCAGATCGAGAAGTTAGTTGTTGCAGTATGTCGGCGCTATGTAGCTTGTATTTTTTACGGAGAGTCGATCGCCACGCGAATGTTTCTCTCCTCACCGAGAGCTAGCTGGCCTCGAAACTCCGTCAGGGTCTGCCTAAGGTACCGAAGGTCCTTTGAATAGCTGCTGGCAGAACTCCATCAAATCCTTTAGCTTCAGCTCGGCGAGCAAAACTCTCTCTCTCCTCCGCCATGAGCTGACACACACAAACTGAATACAAAATGATGCACTTCACACGAGCTGGCTTGCACGCGTGCCCCCTTTCACGAACCCAGACAATCTTTTCGGGATTGGTCTATTACGTAGTACGTTACTTGTTCGTGACTGTGTATGCAGGACTCAGTGACCAGTCAAGGCCCCATTACCAATCACGGTCCCCGTGACCAGTCAAACAGTCACAACCCCCCATGACCAGTCACAAACAGAAACACACACTCACACATGCGCGCGCACACTTACTCACACACACCATACCATTATACGCCCGTCGCAAGAGAAGCACGCAAATCTGCAAATGCACTGGATGTGCACTGGATGTGCACCCACAGATTTCCCCTTTGTAGCAACGATAGCGGATCTGATTCTGATTGAAACAGATCAAGACAAGCGCCAGATAACTGTCTAATCCACACAACTGGCGAAGCAATGTGAATCGACCCCCCCCCCCCCCAATGCACACCTGGTCTACACCACACGGAGTACATCGGAATAAGACGGCAAAGACAGTTACCTATGCAAACCCTACACTTGCTGGGGTAACCAGTATAGACAGCACGCAGCTTTGATCAAATCAGACACTAGATGCACTGGTACCTTGAAGTGAAATTGGAGTTCCAACACACACACACACACACACACACACACACACACACACACACACACACACACACACACACACACACACACTTGTACTTGTTGTACTTGTTGCTCACTGCCAAAACTGGTCACGTGGGTCTCCCCGGGAGAGGGGAGAGAGACTCAAAAGGAATCTTGGAAAGATGACTCAACTGGCTATTGAACCGCCCAACGGCCGACACCCCCTGAAATCCCCAAAACTGTGGGTGGACTTGAAAATGATCCCACTTATGGGCTCACCACACCTCAGTAAGTGGGTGAGGACAAGGTGCAGAAAAAGGATTCACGGTATCAGGGTATCCGTCCTGGGATTCAACTGCAGTTACCCCTGCCCCCAGTGAAGGTAATACTTGCTACTAGTGCGGGTGGCTAAATCAGAGTGGATCTGATCTAAGCGTCACTAGCATCATTGATTACACAAGAGTTAATCTAGCCAGAAGCAGTCCATGGTTAACAGGTATGTATACTTCAAATAGAAAGTAACCTGAAACCAACAAAGGTGGCAGATACAACAATACACCTTCAAGCAGCCGAGCCTGTTGGCAACAGACCCAACACAATCTGGCATAAGTGTACCCACCAACCGGACTGGCTGGCAACACACACACACACACACACACACACACACACACACACACACACACACACACACACACACACACACACACACACACTATGTCCGCCCCACAGCAGAATACGCCGCCCCAGTATGGGAGTCCTCCCTCTCTGCTGCACAACGGCTCACCCTTGAACGGCTGCAAGCCAGAGTAGCTCGCACAGTCATGCGGCTTGAGAGATGCCCTTGCCCATCAGACGAGCCCAAGTCATCATTGTTTAAACAGCTGGGGTGGCCAAGTCTATCCTGGCGCAGGAAGATCGCCTGTCTTATGGAATTCTTCCATTTGGTCACCACCCAACCAGAACTTTTTGAAGCAGCGGGATACTGCCCCACGCGTAGTCGCCGCCGCCAACTCGCATTCACTCTGCCACGGGTTGGGAAACACGCCGGGAGGTCATTTCTCTTCCGCACCGCTACTGTCTGGAATGCCTTGCCCGCAGACCTGAGAGCCACAGCCTCGCAGTCCCTGTTTCACAGTCACATTTGCACGCACTTCTCTGACACCAAACACAATGCCACTCCTCACTGACATGCCTCTGTCCTCCTTCTTTGAGCGTTGCGCTTATTCTTATTAATTTTTGTGTTTCTTTTTCGGTACATTTCGTATTTCAAGGCATACCCCGAGGCTATAGGTATCATTGAGTAAAGGACCATTCTGGAACATTCAGCATAATTGTATTTCTCTTGCTAGGCTGTTCATTACGAATCATTAGCCCTCCACTGTCTGCTATCTCAACCCTACAGCCTCCCATTATAATGGAACTCCCTTCAATTTAGACTACGTCTTTGGGAAATCCTCAAATATATATAATAATAATAATAATAACACACACACACAAATAGGCAGCTGGACTACCAGCTAGATTCACGTGACCTTGCGGACAAAGTTACGGAGGTAGAACTTGTTTTCATGACGACGCTTGGACACAAGTATTTCTGTATTATTATTTTATCTCTTTTCAACCAATCCACAAGCCAAGAAGAGATGCGTAGATGGAAGAACCGTACTCTTGGTGATATTGGTCGCAAACATGATTAATTCCTCCAGGCAATTGAGCACCCAATTCTAAACCTTATCTAACCAAAGTTCTTGTCAAAGCAGCATGCCAGTTCTAGAAAATCTCGTCAGACATACCGTATTATCTCTAATATAAGCACGGTCCTTTATTTTTTCAATGTACCTCCGCCCCATGCTATTAATGGAGACATTCCTTTATTGGAGACTGTTCCATTATTATTTCAACCTCATTTCAGAGGCATGTTGCCATGCCAAATTCATGTCAGACACACACATTTCAGGGTTTTTTCCCCCGGTACAGATAATGAATGTACACAGTGTGCTTATAATGGAGACTGAGCACTTTATTTTTTGAATGCCGCCCCAAGGTGTTCTATTATTGGAGACTGTGCTTATATTAGAGATAATACGGTACATATCGATACATGTCTGGTGCACTCTCACTAACAAGCAGGCATCGCAGGCTACATTCGCACCAGCAATTACAAGAAGTTGTAGTGAGTGAATATTTCT